TTGTTAGAATTAAGTCATTTCCAGCCTTTAGAATAGAGAGATTTCTATCAAATAACTTCTAAGCTGTTATGTTACTGTTCTTGAGTGATTGAAGCCTTAGTATCCACTGTCTTGTGGGGATTCAGGCTTACCACATTACAAGGGACGGCACTTTGTTGTTACCCAACCTAGCACTGCCATGAGCAGTACTTTTTCTATCATCTTTGTTAAATTCCATGAGGAAAAACCTTTCCTTAATCACCAGGATTAAAGCAGTAGTCATTGGGTCCAAGAGCTCTTCCTGGCAAATGGAGATGTCTTTAGATAGATCTATATGTTAAGGTTTTAGGGAAGGAAAAGGAGAATAAATTCTTGCCACTTCTGTGTACTAATGCATAGCTGTTTAAATTTTTTTAATGTACCATGAGACCGTGGTAAGACAGTTTACCTTAATGTCACCACTTTCTAAATTAGGTAAACAGGAACTGTTACGCTCACTTTTCAAGTGAGTTTAAAGAATATGACTCCAGTCACACAGACTCGGTGTCTATAGGCTGAACTTTATGTACTGGGAGCTCAACCCCAGTATTGGGGTTTTCTTGTCCAGTGTTCTTTAGGCTGTATATTCTGAGTTTACATTTTGGTCACTGAATTCATTCCCCATTTTCTTTTGAAGCTTAGTTTCAACATGAGTAAGGGGAAGAGGGGTGTTTAGATAAACAGATTTCTAGTGTAGGTATTGGTGTCAAGGAGGCAGAACCTGTGGACATGGCAGGGGTGGAGCTTTGAGCAAGTGAAGAATCTTGTTTGTCTAGGGACCTGCTGCTGTTGGAGGAGAGGCAGGAGGAGGAGTAGCAGATTAAGTTTGCCTGCTATTCAGCATGTAGTTGTGTTTAAAGGGCTGATCAGTAAGTAATAAGGAGATTGCTGGCTGAGCAGAGCAAACCCATGTTTGAGAGTCGTGGAAGCATGGCTAGTGTTAAACAGGAAATTCAGCTTCAGCCTGATTTTGATGTCTGCCTTGCTTATGCTGTGGGCTAAGTTATCCTGTTAACTTACATCTTATATGATCCCCTCCCCCCTCCATTTTCCTCTAACAAGTCTGTTTTGCCTTTTCTGATGGATTTTACAAAGAGAGATTTTTGCTCAGTGTTTGTCTTCGTAAATTCTCATTGCTGCTGCTGCTCTCAAAAGGATTGTGTAAATGAGGTGGGTAAGAATTTCCAATATATACCAAAGGTGTGTTGTGATATTTATGTATGGAAGGTTTCAGTGAAAGTATTGGGATTGTTAGTTCAGAATGCTTTTCAAAATAGTTCTGCAGTTTAGTTAACTTACACAGCATTTTCTATGAGAAGGAAGGAGACTTTTCTCAATTCTGAGTGGTTAGGAAAATTTTTACTCTTAGGAAGAGAAAAATGTTACCCTGACACACACTGCAGCTTAAGTTTTTAAGAAGCAAGTGCTGACAGTTTTTAAGAGCTAGAAGATTGAACCGGAGAATACTATATTATGACTCACTTTTATTTTTTATTATGACTCACTTTTATTTTTCCAGCAGATTAGCTGCAAACTGTGAGTATATAGAATTGACAGAAAATTCAGTCTGTGAGATGCATATATGTTTGGAGTTTTTCTTAGTTTAAATAAAGCAACATTTTATAAAGATTTATGTCAGTTTTTTTTTAAGTATCAACTCTGATGTACCCTTGGAGAATCACAACTATTGTTTTTTTCTTTTTGTTCTCCATTTAAGATTGCATAAAAGTCACCTTTTTTGTTTCGTTTATGAGAATATATAATTTTAATCCCAAAGGTGTCTTAAATGGGTATACATTAGCTGTTGAAGAAGTACTTTTGTGTAATGCAGAATAACAAGCTGCTGTTTCATGTCAAAGAAACATTTTACGGCACTTCTCCCTGAAGAGAGGTCTTGTGAATCACAGCAGTGAGGAAGAGTGTTTCTGGAGTTGGCAGGTTGCTAGCTCTGGAAGGGTGAAGGGACAAGGCACCAGTCTTTAACTTAGGTTTTCTTATGTGTAAAACATTAGCCCAGTTTATCTTCCTTAGTACTCTTTTATGTTCAGTGTTCTTGGACCTCATTCAGAATAGATGAGCAAAACTTTGCTTCTGCTGTTCAAAACAGGAGTGAAAAAAGACTGTGTGGGGCTAAATCAGAGAGTATAGAAAAGAGGTGTCATTTGAAGGATTTTTACACTCTTAATCATCTTTTTTGAAATAAACAAATTCAAGGAAAAGAGATGAAATATCATCATGAAAACATTTTCTTATCATTGTTCTGTCTGGTGCTTAAATGATGTTTTAGAGTAATCTTAAATCAACTTTCTTATCATTGTTCTGTCTGGTGCTTAAATGATGTTTTAGAGTAATCTTAAATCAACTTTTTAATTTAAAAATTTATCAATTATTAAAAAAACAGTTCTGTTAGAACAAGAAGCTTCTGAGTATGATACGTCTTATGTATTGAAACATGTGCTTGTTGATTTTAAGTGGCTTTCCATCAGGTGCCCCAGATGACTTCAGTAGGTCACATTCCAGGTCATTGATGTTTTATGCTTATTTTTACTTTTTTTTTTTTGGTCACTTTTAATATACAATTCCTGTATATCCTTGCTTCTTCCCAAATGATTCAGAATACCTCTGTTTGATATTTTGATAAGATATTTGGATAATCCTGGCTTCTTGATGCTTGGTGAAATTTCTTGTCTTTTCCATGGTCTCAGTGGTAACGTTTGAATGCCAGCTGCTGGACTGCCCCTGTTGCACTGGCTGTCTCGGTGCCTGCAGTGCCCTTTAAGGCAGCAGCAGCCAAACATGGCAGTGGTGGCTGCAGCTGGACAGCAGCGGTGCAGAGTTCTCTGCGCTTGAATCTTGGCTGTGCGCTGAGAGAGCAGCTCACCCTGGTAGAGTCGGTGTGTTCTATGATGCATAGTTGCTGGTTTCGCAACTGTGATCTGGTATCTTGCTTATTCAACTAGCTTTTCTACCTGTAAATAGAAATTCCTGTTTGTGAATGTGTTTGTCTGCATAGGTCAGATTAACAAGAGGGTTGTTTTTAAGGATAAGCAAAGCTGAAAGCATGTTCACTGTGGATCTTAGTGATTATTTTTCAAAGAGAATTCTATGCTTTCTTTTTAACTCTAAGCCTTAATTACCATTGGTGATTACTTTTGAAGTCAAAGGTGCCCTAGGTCAGCAAACTTAATAATTGAAAGAGCTTTCAACCTGGACAGTCACATATGAGTCTAGTTCCCATGAATATAGTTAAACAGGTATTATCCCCCTTTGCTAGACAGGGAAATGAAGCTCAGAGCTGCTTCTGCTTGTCCAGGTCACACTGAATTCAAGTCTTATGCTCCATCCTTTCATCTTTCCAGTATGCCTGTGCTAAATTGAAATGGAGAAGTCTTAATATAGTCAGTATATGTGTGATTTATTAACTCAATATGTAGAGTTGTCAGAAGGTCAGACTCATTCCTCTAAAATGTGTGTGTTTATGGACGTGGGAACATGTTTTCTAATCCTATTCTGTAGCCTCTTTAACTTCTTTCCTGTACATTTGAAGTGTCCTTACATGAAAGGCCAGCTGTGTATTAGTGTCTAATTTTACCAAAGAACAATCTTTCAGATAGTTTTCTGCCAATAGTGAATGTTCTAGGAACTTATACAGTATCTTATTTTATTTTTTTCAAGTATTTTAGACTGTTCTTCCCATTATATTTGTAAATGGCATCTTAAAAGTTTGCTTTTATACTTTTACATGTTTATTGTAAAAATTAAAAGCAAATATAAAAATCTCCAGTGTTTCTGCTACCAGAGAACTTTTAGTGAGCATCATCCTTTTTTTAAAAAAGCAAAAAACAGTTCCTGTTTTCTTTAGCTTTAATTTAAAATACCATGCCATACCATACCAGCTTGCTCAATTAAAGCAGGCTTTTCCTTCAGTGACATTGTTTTGTTTTTATTAGAATGATTATGTGACGACAAGACTGGTTGAGAAGACTTAGCTAGACTTGAAAAATAAGAAGATTGAGGAAAAATTCAAATAATATATATTGTCACCGAGACATTGGGTAATTATTTCTAGTCCCTGTCTCCTGTCTCCTCCTCGCTGTGTGTTAGGTGGTCATAGACTTACCTTGCCTCTTGCAAAGTATATCGCGTTGCTACTTCAGCTCAGTCTGTGTGACTTAGAAGAGGCAGGAATAGATAATGAGATGTTCTTCTTCACACCATCTCTCAGACAGGAGTGGGTTGTTATTCTTCTATCTTATATACATTTTCTACACACCGCTGAAATTTTCGTTTGCAAAGAATTTACCTTTTGTGAAAATTCTAAAATATTACAATGGTTCTGTTTTATATAATAGTGATGTTAAATTTTTTTCTGAAATTAATTGGAAAGTTTGTCTTTCAGATGTGTCTGATATGTTATTTGTCATTTTATGTTTTCATATGTACAAGACAATTTGCTCTTCAGTTACCATGCCAAACCAGTCTAAATTCTTCACTTCTTACTGAGCTTGTTAAGGAGTACTATATTGATAGAATACCTGCCAGACTAAGCATGTGAATTCATGCCCACACATGGGTCCTCTGTTCAAAAGAGTTGCATGTTAGGTTGATTAATGTGTTAGGGAACAAGGTTGAACAGAAGATCTTCTAACCAATTAGAACTTTGGGCTTTGTTTAGCCAAAATTTCCATTACCTGAAACACAGCGAAAGATGCTAACGATAGCCTACTTTTGTCACTGGCAGTGTGGTGGCCATGGAAGTAAGTGACTCCGCTGTCTTAACTGTTCCCTATTGTTACCTTGTAGGGGCTAAATAGCTACTACCCAGCTCTGACCCTGCATGAACTAGATCCTGCAGGCAAACCAGGAAAAAGCCAGGATGGTGAGAAGGCAGTCGAGTAGAACCTTAGGAGGCAAGTTCAAATTCAAGTTCAAAGTCCCTGCCTTCATTATTGTGTTCCTGTTGCTATTTTTATGATTTTCAGGGAGTGAAGCCAGCCAGTTTTGACAAAGTAGCAATTCCTGAAGTGAAGGAAATTATTGAAGGATGCATACGGCAAAACAAAGATGAAAGGTAAGTTGCCTCTTTTGACCTGGATATTGCTTAAACAAAAACTTCAAGTATAATATGCTCTGAATAGAACCCTCAACCTAAGATGTATATAATACTTTACTTGTGCTTAGTTTCTCTGTTTATGTCACTTAATATCTTTGAAAGTAAAGTTCTGTCCACTGGAGGTAGTATTCAGATTTAGTATACTGAAATACTGTAAAAGTGTGGTTTGGTAGACTTGGAATAATCCAGAACAACCTTAAATGTAGCTGCTGCATTCAGTAAGGGCTACTTATACCATCTACCTCATCTGTAAAACTCACTAGGTTCTATCCTGACACAGCGGATCTCTTCCTTAGCTTTATACCAGTTGAAGTCTAAAGATGAAGTAAAATTTTTGGCTCTTTAAAATCAACTCAGCTATGCAGGTATTGATTTACTGTTGCTATGCCAGAATTGAAGAAGAGCAAAATGTCAAAATTGCTTTGAGTAAGAGGAGACAACTTCGCCCAGAGCTTGGGAGGAGATCGGGCTTAGTCATTATGCTAACAGAGGGCTTTTCTCAGAGGAGTGGCAAGTGTCTGACCTGCCATATAGCTAGTTCATCACCCGCTAGGCATGGCAACGGCCCAGTGTCTGTTTTTGAAAAATAATCTACCTTCACCATCCACAGAAGAAAAAGTAGACCCACTAGTACAAAGTGTAAATTGAACATAATCTACCTCTTGAAGAATATGAGTGATCAGGTATTTTAGCCAAATTAAAGAATTCCATATCTTCTCTTCTCCAGTCTCATATTCTTTTCATAACTTTGTTATTTGGAAGAGCTTAAGATCTTGATCTTTAAAGCTTTTTAGTAGAAATTTAGTTTGGGTTTCTGTTTTTATATACACTGATGAAAAAGAGACGCCTTAATCTCTTTAAGAACATTTTTTTTAAAAAACTATAAATAAAGAAATATTTGTCTCCAGTCATAGAATGTGGTACTCTTGTTTCTTGTCTTGATGGAACAGTTTACTAGATTACTGGTATTTTGAGACCATTTATCTAGAGAAAACTGTTCCATAATCAGACTTCTGCTTGCCTAGTACACTAGGTGCTGAACCAAGACTTGAGAGGATTTATTGTATAAAGAAAAATTGCTATATTAGAAGGTAATATACTATAAAAATAAAAAGGTTTTCGAGTTTTGATTCCATGATTTATGACTTTTATAATTGAGCAAGATGGTCAGTCCCTGAGGATCCATCCATTTCCTGCTGATCAGGAAATGGTATCTCATTGGATACCAGAAATCAGATGAGATCATACATACAAGAATTTGGTTAACTATTAATATAAGCACTATATATAACACATTTAAAAGTATCACTTCCAGGGAGAGTAGCACTGACATATATACACTAGCATGTGTGAAATAGGTACCTAGAGGAAGCTGCTGTATGGCACAGGGAATTCAGCTGGATTCTCTGTGATGGCCTGGCGGGGCGGGAGGCTCGAGAGGGAAGGGGCTGTACGTGTACATATAGCTGATTCACTTTGTTGTATAGCAGAAACTAACACAATGTTTTAAAGCGATTATACTCCAGTAACAAAAAGTATCACTTTCAGCCATTATTCATAAATGAGATTGTTTTGATGTTCCATAACTTGAATAAAACTATAATCACTGCTTAAATGAAGCAGTGTAGAGATGAATTAGAAAATTCCTGTTCTTTTTGCAGTCCTTTTTCATTATTCTAAACATAACATACTTGAGAAGTATCTTTTAAATCTAATGGCATTTTGTTTTTTGTTTCTTTCCCTTCTCTTTTGAAGATACTCTATCAAAGACCTTTTGAACCATGCCTTCTTCCAGGAGGAAACAGGGGTACGGGTAGAATTAGCAGAAGAAGATGATGGAGAAAAGATAGCCATTAAATTATGGCTACGTATTGAAGATATTAAGAAACTAAAGGGGAAATACAAAGACAATGAAGCTATCGAGTTTTCCTTTGACTTGGAGAAAGATGTGCCAGAAGATGTTGCTCAAGAAATGGTAAATTAGCACCGATCAAGCCATTTAAATTTTATGTTGATTTATATACGTTGATACTGTTGATATACGTTGATACTGTTGAGCAGAAAAGCAGTTTATGAAGCAGTGTGTATGACATATTCTGTTGATATAAAATTCCATTAATGGTCCCAAGATTTATTCTTATTTTAGAAGACATGTATATGCATAGATATGTATAGTGATAGATGGATGGATGGACAGACAGGCAGGCAGGCAGATATACAGATGGAATGAACTGGAGGACATTTTGAAGTCATTTTCAAAGTCTGTAAGGTTGACTGACTTCTAATTAGTGTAACCTATTTAGTTAGAATGAAAAATTGTTTCTATATACTGATACATTAGCCTTTGGTCAGTCATCTGGATAATAAACCCAATAGTCAGTTCACACATTGTTTTTTACTTTAAAGGAAATTTTCAGGATCGATTGTTAGTAGGCAACTTTTGGCCAGTCGTTTTCAAGGAAACACTCGGCCAAGCTTAGGCTTTTCATGGTGCCTTAATAGCCATTTACTGCGCAGAGATGGAGACGGTCTCTGCCCAAATGTGTCAGAGCCATTCAGTACTTATATTTGAGAAGGGTTCAGCATGAGAGAGGTACTTATTTTTAACTGTCAGGTTTTTATATTATTTGAGTTTTTATTTTTAACCTTCATATATTTACCACAGTTGTTTTGTTTGGTTAAGTGGTTGTCTAGTGAAAAGACAGTAAAGCGTCGGCCTACAGTGCGGGAGACCCGGGTTCAATCCCTGTATCAGGAAGATCCCCTGGAGAAGGAAATGGCAACCCACTCCAGTACTCTTGCCTAGAAAATTCCATGGATGGAGGAGCCTGGTGGGCTACGTTACTTTCTTTTCTTTCTTTCTAGTGAAAAGAAGTAAAAGCAACACAGGTTCATATTGATGGTTACATGTGAGTGGGAAATTGAGTATAATAAAATAAGCCTTTTGGTTTTACCACTTGGATGCTTAGGTTCACTGTTGATTTGTTATAATTAGTGAAGGTACATGTACTTGATGAGTTTGTATAAAGATAATAGCATCCACCCCATGAGTATCTGCAAAAATGGTGGGCAAATGCATAGTGCAGACCAGTAGTTTCACTGTTTGGTTAAGGTCAGTCCTCGGACAGTTCTTTCTTCCTCTCCTTCTCTGTTTTTCTTTCCCCAAAGACTGTTGTTTGTGTTTGGTTTGTTTTCTTTCGCTATCCTGCTGCTTCCTAATGTACCCTTTCATCCTGTAGGTAGATTCTGGGTATGTCTGTGAAGGTGACCACAAGACCATGGCAAAAGCCATCAAAGATAGAGTATCGTTAATTAAGAGAAAACGAGAACAGCGTCAATTAGTGCGGGAGGAGCAAGAAAAAAGAAAGCAGGAGGAGAGCAGCCTCAAGCAGCAGGCGGAGCAGCAGCCCAGCACCTCCCAGGCCGGAGTGCAGCAGCCGCCTGCCACCAGCACTGGCGGACCCGCTGCCTCTGCTGCGTCTGCGTCCGTCTCCACGCAGGTAGAGCCGGAAGAGCCTGAGGCCGACCAGCACCAGCAGCTGCAGTACCAGCAGCCTGGTGTGTCTGTGATATGTGAGTATCGGGGGCCCAGCGAGGTTGCTAGGCACGCTCTTAGCTGACGCTCTGTCTTCCTGGTCATCGTTTTGCACTGGCCTCTTGGTTTTGAATTGTGAATCTAACATATAAATAAGAGGTTTGAAATGTTTGCTATCTCCTTTTCCTTTTGGTTCTTACGTTCACAGCTAATAGCATAGAAGAATGGGACAGTGAGGAAATCTGATTAGGATGTGAGAAATTCTGCAGGTTCCAGCATCTTGGATGTTCTATTTGTAGATTCCTACCTTTTACAGTTTCTTAAATTAATAGTGAAATGTGACAAGTTTATCTTAGCTACTTAATATTGAACCTGTTAATCTGGTTCAGCTCTTTTAGCAAAGCTGAATAACGTATAAACTAGAAATTAATGAGGCCACTAGTTACTAATTGAGCCATCTTAATACTTAGAGCCCACTGGTCTCCATGGTTAAGATTTTGGAAGCTGTGTCAAACTTCAGGCCTATTAACAACTTTTTGTTTTATTCCCCCTTGTTCATTGGGTGGTAAATTCTGTGATGGCCAGGGGATTTTTTTTTTTTAAGATGAAACTTTTCTATATGGATTCGTCAGTTAAACATAGAAATCTACTTAGTAAAACTAGTCATTTATTTAGTTCAGGTCTGTGCAAAGATAAGACCAATTAACTCTAAAATCAGGGGTTTGTGATGGGAAAATATGAATCTCCTTTTCATGATTTGTCTCTCTGTCTTGTATTTTGGCAACTTCTCCTTCAGCTGACGGGACAGTTGACAGTGGTCAAGGGTCTTCTGTCTTCACGGAATCTCGAGTGAGCAGCCAACAGACAGTTTCGTACGGGTCCCAGCATGAGCAGGCACCTTCCACTGGCGCCCTCCCAGGGCACACAGCATCTGTTGTCCAAGCGCAGGCTCAGCCCCATGCAGTATATCCACCCTCAAGTTTGGTGAGTAACTGTGCAAGAGCGCGCACGCCTGTCACATGCTCAGGGCACACTCTGCCCTTGACTGAGTGCCAGCACGAGTCCAGAGTGAAGCGTACAGCGGTGCCTCTCCAGAGGAGGCAGGCGGTTCATATAGAGCCATCAGGGCGGTTCAGCAGGTGGGGCACACGCGTTACTCCGTGCAGACACTGTTACAGGATTCAGACTCCTCAGCCTTTGACTAAAGGTGATGCTCTCCAGCACTTTAAAGTTCAAACTGTTCAAAGCAGTCTAAGTTAGACATACAAATGGTTTGGGAGTGGGGGGCAAGGAGAGTTTTTCAGAAGTTACTTGAAAGAATTACTAAACATTTTCTGTAAGACATCTTATTGTATAAAACACAGGTAAGACCTTCAAACCATTATAGAATGCTGCATGTGAGTACACCAGAGAAAAGGAATGACCATTTAATTTAGCGCTTGTGTTTAATCATCGGTTGCTATGCGTGTTCTTGCCTTAAAGTCTGTGTTGGACACAAGTTCTTTCCCCAGTATATGTTCATTTGCTTCTTCCCTTTATTTTGGTATCTGTTTTATGACTGATTTATTTTCAGATTCAATTTGTAGCAATTATATCCTGATGTATATATTGTACATTTGTACCTATGCATATATACACATACACACACACATTATTACCCATGTTTTACATTAGCCACTCTTGCTTCTCAAACAGAGAATGTTCAAATAGACCAGTAGATAATACCCCATTTCTTTGGTCAACCTTCCATGAAGTCTTCAGAAGTGAACAAGATGCATCTTCTGCCTCAGGATCGAATTGAGAATAACTGGTCACTACAATGCTCTTGTTTAGTGAGATCTTTAGGCAGATAGCTTGCCCCTCTGTCTCAGAAACTTTGAATTTGTGGAACTCTTGTTCTTCATTGAATGAAACTTTCTCTGGTAAGAAAATACTTCTGCTTGTTCTGGTCTCTTATCCTACAGCTTGGAATAAAAATGTTTGCTTGTTTTAGAGTCCATTAGTTAGTTCTGCATTGGCTACATATTAAGATGAATGGCCACAGTTACAGAAAGAAAACTTCCAGTGTAATAGCAATCTACTTCTCTGACCTTTAAAATAAGTAGGTAGGGTAGAAGAGCTTTATACAGACTGTACAGGTGTATTTCTGTGATGTAACAAATATTATTTGTCAGCATTTCTTATCAGTTTCTACTCTTGTTGATTTCTTCCGGATCATCATAACTATAGATTTTTTTAAAAACTTTTTAATCTCTTGGCTTCCCACATCACAGGATATGAACTTTGGGTCTCTATTTTAGAAATGGAAAAGGACTGACCATTTATGAAGATGCTAAATATTTGAGCCACAAATATAGCTATATTTATTAATGTTCCAAAAGCGTACTATTAATTAAATGAAATGAAAAAAGGCAGACATTTTTGCCTTTTAATGATAATATTCTATGGAAGTATCATGAAGAATTACTAGAATTACTAAATATTGAGGACTTTTCAAAGCTTTTATAATCAGTCCTTTCTAATTCCAGAAAGTATTTACCATGGCTTGCAATAGCATATCAATTACAAGTAAAATTTAAAAATACAAGAGAAGCAAGAGTGGGGAAAAATGTAATTAATTACACAGTTCACAGTTTCTGAAAGGAAACAACAGACATGCTCAGGACAGCCTTAGAGCTTTAGATTTGCTGCTTTGTGGCTATATTGAAACCTTTATATTAAGGTGCTTTAAACTTTTAAACCAAAGTCAACTTTGTTGTGGCTGAAAAAAATTTAACGTTATTCTTTAGAGATTCACAGTTTAGATATTTTTCCATTGACTACTTTAGTAAAAGTACAGAATATTTCCTGTATGTACTATGAATTATGTCTAGAAAACTAATGCTTTTTCTGGAATATGACTTTTAGCTTTATAGACAAAGATAGGCAAATGTGATAAACTATTCTATCAGCCAACAACTTTTTGTTTACTGCCTTCTAAAATAGGACTGAGAAATCCTGTATGTCTGAGGTTCCCAGAGCTCCAGCAGAGCAATTCAATCTTAAGATCTTCTGTATCTTGTAATGTGCATTAAACTGATAGAATTTATTAACAAGTTTGCAGAGACTACAAGCCAGTATTCATCGTTTTCCCAGTCTGCTTTGCTGCCTCAGTCGGTCATTCTTATTCATACACTCATAACAATTAATGTTATTTCAGAATGTTTAGGAAGGTACTTAATCATTATTTTGGTGGTTAATTTTTTAAAACCGGCACTTGGCCAACAGTGTAGAGAGAATATCTTGGTCTGCCAAGTGTGCTTTGTGGAGTTCTGTCTCCTCAGAAAATGACTTCGTGGAATGGGGGGAGGATGGAACATTTCTTTATGTCAGCTGTGCCCTGTTACCATTGTACATTTTGTTTTGTTTTCAGAGTGCTGTGTTTTTCACGTGTGTGTTTGTTTTCTGTTTAGCCTCGTCGTGGCCGTAGCATGTCCGTTTGTGTCCCCCATCTTCCTGCTCTCCCCTCTTTGTCCCGCATCTCTCCCAGTGCTCCTTCCACCCCACCACCAGTGCTGTCCGCACCTCTTTCTCCTTCCCTCCTCCGGACTGCCCCCGAGGAAACTTTTGCCGAAAAGCTTTCTAAAGCATTGGAGAGGGTCCTGCCTATGTACTCTACCTCTCAGCGCAAGTGCCGACGCTCCAGCCTGCCTTCCCTCTTTGTCAGTGCTGTATGTAACATCAACTTCCTGACAGACGAGCATTTATCACCAATGAATACATCCAGGCATCAGGAGTTGTAGTAATGATTAAAGAACAGGACTGAACTTAGTAATATAGTACGCTTTTAGGAAATAGTTTTTTCTTATAATTTGTTTGTTATAAGACTAATGGGGAGAAAAGCAAGGAGGTAATCAGAGAGAATGCTTATAACACCCATGGCACATAGCAGCCTGTGAGCAGCAAAATTTAGCCTTTATTATAATCTCCTATCCCCACCAGTGTATTCAACTCCTTGCATTTTCATATCTTAGCAAAGAGTATGTGTATTATTTAATTTTAAACTCGTTGGCTTTTTCGAAAGCAAACTTTCTCTTTATCAGAAATTATCCAAATATGTTTTCACTTTGTTCTAGAGAGATACCAATAATACTGCTTGAGTCCATTTTTTCCTGTAGTCACTGAGGAATAATTGAAGAAAGTTGCTTTTAATTTGTTACCTATTTAAAATGAGGGATCAACAACCTAAAAGGCCACATAATGTTCCCTCTTGGCAAATTTTTTTTTTTTTTTAGATTGAATAGCGGACCTTGACTGTGATGCAATACATTAGGTGCACATAAAATACTTGCAGTTTGTCTTGGCCCCATTAATGTCTGTAGATGTGTTTATCTCTTAAGGTTATTTCAAACACTGTGGGACTTTGCTGCTGCTTTTCCAGATAGAGGATTTGGTTAGCATTCTGATCTAGGAATCCCAAAACCTTCAGATTTGTACCTAGGAGAGTGATTAACTGTATAGTGTGTTGTGGCCTCGGGATACTGTTGAATAAACAACAGTAAACCAGAACATTCTGATTCAAAATAGAAACCTCCTTTTAACTGTTGTAAAGAAGTAACAGTGGAGCCGTTTTGCAATTTTGATAGGATTTTCCCATTGAAAGAGTGAAACTGATCTACCCTTTAAAAAAAGGGCCCATGAAAGTGAATTATTACAGTGTGTACCATTTGCATTTGACAGGGTAGAATTCTAATTTTAGAGTGTTTAACCTAGAACTGCTTCTATGACCAAAGGATGCTGTCAAATCAAGTTGGCTATTTACATTACCCTTTTCACCTGATTTGAACAGCAAATTTAGTCGATCCTTAAAATGGTATCAGAAAAGTGGACATTCAGTGGTTTGGCATCTCTAACATGTTTCATGTAGTAAAACTAACTGTGTATGGTTTGGTTTCCCAAACCAAATGATGGTCACTAGCCAAGCTGTGTATCTTTTACTACCCATCAGAAATCTCTTCTGATTTCTAGTTAGAAGACATGACATTAGTTAATCAGAAATGAACCCTGGAGCGTCTTAACACAGCAGAAGATGATAAGGCTTCAGGGTAGGAAGATTTGGTACAGTCATAAGTGAGCATGTTACTTGTGGGTAAAAGCAGAATAGTCACTCGGAAGGTTAAATTCTTCATTTCCTTTGAGGAGGGGAGTGTTGTGGAAAAGCAGCTCTTATCTAATGCAAAGATGCCCACAGAATAGTTTTATTGACCCTGGATGTATTTAATGGGTTTTTACTATGCACATAATTTCCAAAAGCATTATATTTCTTTATTAATTATAAATTTGGTGTAACCATTTTGTAGGGTTACACAGAGCTGCCCAGTTGTGCATGTCTGATGTAATTTCACATATGAATGTATGAATTACTTGTCTTATTCATGTTGATACAGCCTCAGTCCATGGCGCATCCGCGTGGGGGGACCCCAACATACCCAGAATCACAGATATTTTTCCCAACTATTCATGAACGTCCAGTTTCTTTTTCACCACCTCCCACCTGTCCACCGAAGGTGGCCATTGCCCAGCGGCGTAAGAGCACCTCCTTCTTGGAAGCCCAAACTCACCAGTTCCAACCCCTGCTGAGGACTGTCGGCCAGAGTCTTCTTCCACCTGGTGGCAGCCCACCTAACTGGACTCCAGAGACTGTAGTCGTGTGGGGCCCTGCAGCCAGCAGAGTCGCTGGAGAGCTGTGTGAGGTGCAGGCCCATCCTGTGTTTGAGCCAGCTCCAGTTTACAGTGACTACAGAGCTGGACTGGTGCTTCCAGAAGAAGCTCACTACTTCCTCCCTCCAGAAGCAGTGTATCTAGCCGGGGTACATTACCAGGCCCAGGTGGCAGAACAGTTTGAGGGTATTCCATACAGCTCTCCAGTCCTGTCAAGTCCTATGAAGCAGACACCTGAGCAGAAGCCAGTGCGCGGGGGCCCCACCTCCAGTTCTGTCTTTGAATTTCCATCGGGACAGGCTCTTCTGGTAGGACACCTCCAGAATGTAAGATTAGATTCGGGACTGAGCCCAGGCTCTCCCCTGTCTAGCGTTTCTGCACCTGTCAGTACAGATGCCACACACTTGAAGTTTCACCCTGTCTTTGTTCCTCATTCTGCACCTGCTGTGTTAACTCATAACAACGAAAGCAGAAGCAGTTGTGTGTTTGAGTTTCACATTCATACTCCAAGCTCCTCTTCAGGAGAAGGAGAGGGAGGAGTTTTACCTCAGCGCATTTACCGAAATCGGCAGGTTGCTGTGGACTCGAACCAGGAAGAACCACCTCCTCAACCTGCAGGATTACACAGCCGCCTGCAGCCTGTGACTGAAGAGCAGCAGACGCCCCAGGCCCCAGAGTTGACCATCTCTGTGGTGGAGCCCACCGGACAGACCTGGCCCATAGGAAGCCCAGAGTACTCCAGTGATTCCTCCCAGGTCACTTCTTCAGACCCCAGTGAATTTCAGTCACCTCCCCCTACAGGGGGAGCAGCTGCTCCTTTTGGCTCTGACGTCTCATTACCCTTTATCCGCCTGCCTCAGACAGTGTTGCAAGAATCCCCACTCTTCTTCTGTTTCCCCCAAGGAGCCACCTCTCCGCAGGTTTTATCCGCCTCATTTTCTTCAGGAGGATCTGCACTCCATCCACAGGTTACAGGAAAACTTCACGGTTCTTTTACACTACCCTGCTGTGACAGTTACATTTAAGTTTTCTGTCCCTCTTTTCCATTCATCAGGGATATTGTTTAATTTATTGTGGAGTTTCTCCATTGAGTGGGGAGGGTGATTTTAAACTACTTGTATTTAAGACCAAAATATGAGACGAAAGCTGCTTGATTTACCTATAATGTGTACAAACCCTTGGAAAAAAGAACACAAAAACTTAGAATTTTAATTGCTTGTCAAAATCAGTTATTTCTGTCCATACGTATTGGGTTGGCCAGAAAGTTCATTTGAGTTTTTCTGTATGATGGTATGTGAAAACCCGAACAAACTTTTTGGTCAGCTCAATAGAATGGATGGAGTTTTCAACTAGTTATGAACATGTTAGTGTCTATAAAGTTGACAGAGCATTGATTATTTACAAACAGTATTGTAAAATGTTTCTTTCTCCCTAGAAACAAACATGGCTAGTTTTTAAAACTTAGAGGAGATAATTTTTTTTCCCCTAAAATGAAAAAATGGAAAATAGGGAATCTTTTTTTTTTGAAGTAGTGTTAGGAATATATAGAGTTTCCACTAATAAGAAAGGATCTTAAAAAACAGGAAACACCTTAGGAATTTGTCTTAACAAATGAAGATGCCTTTTAAAAATGGCATCCAACATGTGACTACCATGTATTATATGTTCAAATAAAATGTTAATCTGTAAAATTGACTAATTCTAATTTTTAGTAACTAAATTAGAATCTAGTGTGGGTGATGGGGCTTCTTTTGTCTTAAGAATTTGTGATATATGTTGCAAGGTAAGGAACATGAGATATCTCAGTTCTTAGATGTTTCCTCAACAAATGTTGTTTATGTATGTGAACATATGCAGCCTCTTGCAAGTAAAGACAAAGTGATGGACATAATAGGATTCAAGAAGTGGAATCAGTATTGACTGTTTCATATATTCCCTTGATACACTGTGTCAAATGTATAAGTCTTATGAAATCTTTGTAGGAGACTTTTCAGTTAATTAGGAAACTTTGCAGTTATGTATTCAGGATGTTATTTAGATGTTTTAAATGATCTCACTCTTACATAAATTACTATATGTTCTTCATACTTTCTTCCTATGTTCTTCCCTCATCTGAGGCAAAAGTATCCCCCAAAATACACATCAAATATTAGTTACTTAGAGCAATACTAAGAAGCAGAAAGATGCAGAGCTTGAGAATTTGTACTGCGTGCACATGCAGTGTGATATGCTCACGTTAACACACTGGTTGCCAGCTCTACTGTAAATGTGTGCACTGCCACTTTTACTCTGTAAACTTCCAAAATGAAATTTTAAGCATCAGGTACTCTACAGGAAAGGTACAGCAGGAATGTATGCTCAGGTGGTTAAGATGCAGTTGGATTAGATGTCCTATCCAAGTAGGCTTCAAAGAAGTGCCTCTGAACTGAGATGAGACAGCAGAGGTGGGACTTCTCATCTTCACAACTCACCTCTGTCAAGTTCTTCTTTCACTCTCACCTTCTCGGTTAACTTAAGATCTCTTCTAGGTGAGAGTTTCTCAGATTCACCCTTATTGACATTTTAGGTTAGGTGATGCTTAGTTGTGGGGGCTATTCTGTGCATTTGTCGGATGTTAGCAGCATCTGTGGCCTCTACTCACTAAACGCCAGGAGCAGCTACCTCTCCTAGTTGTGCCAGCCAGAGACACATCCAGATATTGCCGAATGTCCCTGGGAAGGGTGTGGGGCACCCAAAGTGACCCTGGTTGAGAACCATTGCTGCAGGTACTTGGCAGTTAATAGTACCAGGTTTTTGTTTTTTGTTTTTTACATTTTTGACAAAAGTCACTATATCACTATAAGAAATAGCAAAAGGAACCAAAGTCACATTATCCAAATACCCCCTTTTCTTTGTTCAGATAGGTTTTTCACATTGATAGTCTGGTTACTTTTTTCCTCATTTTCAGTAAAAATTTTATTATGAATCTTACTATTTAGGTCAGAGTTATAGTTTGAGCAGTGGGATAGGTTAGGTTTTAACCATCAGTGGTTTTTTGCATGGTTTGTTTTATAATATGATCCTTCTCTACCCTTCTCTTTAAAAACTTGCCCCAGCCATCTCTCCCTCCATACTTGATCAAGCTAATGTTTCATCTTGCTCAGTCAGACTCTCAGGAGCTTATATGTTTATTGCAGAACCCTGACCTCTGTATACAGGTACCTTTGGGCTGCTCTAATTTTTTGTATTCACTTCTTTCCTTCAGGCACAGGGGCAGAGCCAGGGTCAGCCATCTTCAAGTAGTTTAACAGGGGTTCCATCCTCCCAACCCATGCAGCATTCTCAGCAGGTGAGAGCAACTCATTGCTGCGCTTTATCCAGAACCCTGTTTACATCTTTCATGAATTGGGTTCCTGATGTAAGTGGCTTGCTAAGTTTTTGAAAGGAAAATCAAGAAGCATAACATTTCTTGTCTTCGGTAACATTTTAAAGAATCTTTCGTTTAATGTATTTTTGAACAGTTTATTAGATTAGACATATATTGATATTCAAAAGAATTTTTCCTGAAATAATTTATGTGCCTTCTTTAACATGATTCTATGCTATTTTAACAATGTGGTTGACCCTTGAGCAACAACAGGGGGTTAGGGGCACAGGCCTTCTGTTCAGTTGAAAATCTGTGTGTAACTTTATAGTAGGTCTTCCCTATTCATGGTTACATATCCAAGGATTCATTAATCTTGGATTGTATAGTACTGAAAGAAATTCACATATAAGTGAATCCGTGCCATTCTAATCCATGTTATTCAAGGATCAACTCTACAAAGAATATCAGTTTTATTTCTGTATATTTCATGATTTGTCCTTTTATGAGCATTTTATCATTGCTTTCCTTGTGCTTGACACTAATGATTCTACACACCTTTTTAATTATTTCTAATCTGTGCGTTGAGGTGTCAGATTTTATGCTAAAATGAATGCAAGCCTAGGAACCATTTTCAGAAACTTTTATAACATGTTCTAAACTTCTGATTGGGGGAGTTTGTTCCCAAAGGTTCAGAGAGCTTGAGAGATTGGTACAGTGCTGAAGTATTCAACAGCAAAACTGCTGATTCTAAAATTAAGAGTCTGTAGATCATCATTGCTATTAGTTAACAATAGTTATTTAGAAGGAAATAATGCTTTAGGGGCATAATTGAATATTTATTATCCATTACAAGTAAAATTTATAGTCACTGCGTGTGTCATAAAAACTCCCCGATGAACTATATTGCTGATAGTTCCCTACAAAGTGTGTTTTCAAACCACCAAATTCTGAACTGTCTTGTTTTTATTAATTTTTGAAACTTAAGTTTTTAATTCTCATTACAAATGGTCTGCTTATCTTAGCATGTGATCATGTAGTCATGATGCCGGCTTAAGATGAGGTATTCTTTGAAACCTTGTTTTATTGTGCTCGTAGGTACCACTTTTTTTTTTTTTTTAAACAAAAAATCGAAGGTTTGTGTTTACCCTGCTTCAGGCAAGTCTGTCGGCACCACTTTTATAGCAGCATTTGCTCACTTTGTGCCTCTGTGTCACATTCTGGTAATACCCATAGTATTTCAAGCTTTTTCATTACTGTTCTATTTGTTACGGTGATCTGTGATCAGTGATCTTTGTTACTATTGCAAAAAGATTACGATTTGCTGAAGGTCAGATGATGGTGATCATCTGTTAGCAATAAAGTATCTTTAAATTAAGGTACGTACATTGTCTCTTTAGCCATACTGCTATTTCACACTTAATAGACTACAGTAAGGTATAAACATAACTTATATGCGCAGGGAATTCAGTCCAAAGAATTCATGTGACTCGCTTTATTGTAATATTCACTATATTGCAGTGATCTGGAGCCAGTGATCTGTATTATCTCTGAGATACCTATGTAATCCATTTTCTCTGTGACCAACATCTCTGTCTTATAGAATGGAAGGGCTGAAAATAACTTGTTTTGTCTTGCTCCTGTCCTTTCTTCCAGACAAGTATCTTAATCTGTGTGTGATTATAGTTAAATTCAAGTAGTCACATTTTTGCCACCCTTAACAGGTCTAATTATAATAACAACCTCTGATAGGAACACAGATTTAAAGTTCCATAAAGCTGGATGAGAACAGACACTGTCGTTGGTACCAGTTTCCTACCAATACCAGTAAAATGTACAGGTGTCAGTGTATGCTGTTTTTCCTTTTCAAAGGAGTTTGTTAGATGTCTTATATTCAAGCATGCAATGAAGCAGACAGTGCAGGAAGCCCTTGAGTGTAGCAGTGATAAGAGTGTGCTCAGTCAGGTGGGCAGCTCCACAAACCCTGTCAGCTGAAAGGAATTAGGTGGTTGACTCTGGGAAAAGGTGTGACTGTCTCTGCAGTACAGACGAAAGTGCCTGTTTCAGTGATGCTTTCTTCAGACACTTTTATTTTAAATATAGGATTAATTAAGTAGAATCACAGTCTGCATGAATGTATGCAGTATGGACTAACTTTTCCAGGGTTGCATAGCCAATAGGTAGATAGAATGAAATGTTACAAACCAGAACCTAAGATTTCCTCCAGTATTTTTCCTCCCTATATTAAAGTTCCACAGGGACTCACGATTATGCAGAGGTGCCCAAGAAGCTGCATTTAGTTAGTTTTATCTTCTGAGATTCCATATATAGAAAAGAAAGATGGTAAATCTTCTGTAGTATTCAATTAGAGTCTCTTTTTAGATGTGATTTATGTTTTACATACTGTCAGGACCCAGTGCCTCCTTAGGAAACCATACCTCTAATTTTATTAGTGTAAGGAAAGAGATGAACTTTAGCTGAAATTTTCTTTATTTCTGTGTTTCTGAAATAAAATGAATAAGGCATTGTGTCTTTTCAGGTTTTCCTCAGGAATCTCTTCTAATGGTATGTTGTGTCTTAATGTGGTACCAAAAATAGATTTCTCCTGGAAAACAGTATTTTGCTGCCAAGAAAGGTCATGACCTACCCTACTGACTTAATAATTTCATCCAGCAGAACACATGTAGAGACTTAGGTATTTCTTACTTTCTGTTCAACTCAGGTGTAGGAGTATTTTTTTTTTTTCAAGCACCCTTGTCCGACAGATAGTACACAGTCTGTATAGGTTATGTGAACTGGTTTCATGAGGCAGTTTTATGTAAAGCATGATATCAAGCTGTTATGCTAAAACAATATTTGTTTGGCTAAAGTGTTGATTACTAGCCAGGGTGATTGTGCAAAAAAACCACCCCATATACTCCTGGCTTATTCAGAGGTGCCACTTTTCTATAAATGCTATAAGGGTTAACTGGCATACGTGCCTCTCGGTTACTTTAAGCAAGGAGTGAGGGTATGTCTGTAAAACTGCTTATTTTTGACAGTCCACACACACACACACACAGAGCAACTAATTAAATAGTTTTTTTCCAAACTGAGTTCATGCTCTGAAGGACCATGTGCTGAGTGGGCAGTGATGGACAGCAAGATGGCCTGTGGAAGGCTAGTTTCAGGGAGCCTGAGTCATCTGGTAAACATGTATGTCAGCTTCTACAAAAGGAGTGAGGATAATAGTAACATTATACACAATGCGTGACGCACTCTACCTGGGTTTTTATTTGGTCCTTATATGAACCCTCCAAGTACCATCATTTCCATTGTACAGATGGGAGAGCTGAGACGAGAGCTGGAGAGGCTGAGTGCTTTACCCAGATGTACACAGCTTCTCAGAGAGGGTATTTAAACCCAAGCAGTCTGGCTCCATGAAAGGAGGAAATTATATCTCTTCTGAGCAGAGAGGGGGGGATATCAGTAGGTTTATGAAAGCCTTTGAACTGGACTGTGATTATGAATTAGATTCAGATGAAGGATATAAGGAGTCTAGGCCCAAAGAAAAGAGTGAGCTGGGGGCAGTATAAGCAAGGTAGAAGGCAAAAAGGTAGACAGCTGTGAGACAAACAAACCTTGGCTTCAGTGTAACCAAAATACAGATAAGTCAGGACTTCCCTGGCAGTCCAGTGATTAGGACTCAGCACTCCCAGTGCAGACCAGGGCAGGGGTTCAATGCCTGGTCAGGGAACTAAGATCCCACATACTGCCTAAAACATAGGCGGGGGAAAGTGAAGGTGTAAGTTTTGAGAAGAGCTAATTAAGTCCAAACCTTGATGTAAGCAAGGTTCTGCACTGATGGAGATCAGGGGAGAGGTAAATCATACATAAAAATATAAGGCGGAGGTTTTCCTCAAATTTACCCCTTATAACAAAGGGGACCACCAGATAATCAGACCTTGAGCCAGTGTTGTTCATATCAGAGGGCTCTCACTGGTCTTTGTTTTGAACAATAACATAAAAAATATGAATGGAATAAAGTAAAACTGTTGAGAACAGATGTGCCTGTAAGGACCTTAAGTGGTATGTGTATGATTGGGAATGTTTGTAGGCAATGTCTAACAGAGTTGGTTTTATATAAGCCGAGACATCATACATCTTATTCTTAGGGGAACAGCCTCACTATTCCAGGTTCACTGTAAATAACTTACAGATCACTTAAAGGTTACATGAATATGCTCTTATGAAGCAATTGCAGAACACTACAGCTATCCTAATATTAACCAAACAGATGTCAGACAAATCTGCTATCACTGCAAATTTCACCTCAAGACACAACTTAAAGGAAAGGCACTGTGTTGTGTGCAGAAAACAGAGATCATTCCTAGTGTGGGTCTCCTGAAGATAAAGATGCTGATGTATTACATGTGAAGAACTAGAATGAGGCAAGGGGAGCAGTATTTCTGAATTACTCTGTTTATATAATACGCAGTCTTATTTAGCTATGTAAATTAATGACTTAGGTAACTTAGATAGTTCCATGTGAGTTCCTTAAAGTTTCAATATATTCAGGTTAATCAAAAGCATTTTCTACTTTTTTAGTTTTTAGTGGGAAAATGGGCATAATTATCTTACATTCAGAGTTGCCTTATAGTTGGGTATTTATGATATATCTTAGTTGCTGAAGATAAATTTTTTATAATTCAACAGCCATTAGTTCCTAATTTTTTAAAGTTAATAAGAATACATTATCAGAAATAAATAAAAATAAAACATGATTACTGTCACTACTACATTTCAGAATTCTTTTGAAGGTTTTAATTGGTATAATAAGAAATAAGAAATAAATATCATGGAGAACAGAAATATTATTTACCGATTATTACCTAACAAAATCTAGGATGCTTATTGAGGTGTCCAGATGCATAATAAATATAAAAACAAAAATCTTGGGAATGCAGTGTATAGCATTGTGACTATAGTTGATAATACTGTATTATATGTTTGAAGGCTGCTAATAGAAGATTGTAAAAGTTCTCATCACAGGAAAAAAATATGAGTTATATGTGGTGATGAATATTATCTAGACTTACTGTGGTGAGTATTTTGCCGTATGTACATATATCAAATCTTTGTTACCTGTCAGTTGTATCTCAATTAGGTACATATACACAAACACATACACACAGATAGCTTATCTTTATACCAGCAATAACTAATTAGTTGTATGGACCAGGAAATATGTGAAAATCTGTTATTGTTTGTAGCATTATTTTAAGTAACAAAATATTGAGTCAACTAAAATGTTCATCATTAGGATATTGGTACCATAGATAAATGTAATGAAGGTAGGTCAGAGAATAGTATTTATAAAAATGGGCTTTTGTTTTTTTTCTTTTTTAAATCAATGTGTGTAAGTGACCACTTAATGCATAGCAGAAAATCCATAAAGCAAGTGCACCGGACCACTAATTGTGGTTATATCTGGAGAAATGAAATTGGGTGTTTTCATTTAACTCTATTAATGTAATATAATGGTTAAAATTTTATTACAAACAAGTGTTTATTTTGTATTTAAAAATTAATTTTTAAATTACTGATAGGTATTAGAGAATCTTGAAAGTCAGCTGTGAAGTTCAGAGTTTCAGCTAGAGGGAGCCATTAATTTTACTGCAAAATTTAGTATTTGGGTACAGTTACATGTCAGCATTGAGTGTAGATGTATTATACCAGAGTATCCAGCACATGCTGGATTCCCTGATGTCATTCACTTTGCTTCACTTCAAATTGAGTGATTGTGCCCTTGTTTTCAAAGAAAGAAACCTCATTTTGGCAGTAAAATGAGCAATCACAAAGGTATCAGAGCTAGTCTCTGGTGGAGTTCAAAATTCAGTGCTTTTCTTCTATTTTGTAGCTATTGTCAGAGCTGTTCTTTAAGCAGATTAATTATACAGTTGAGAAACTAGACTAAGAGATTACAGGAAGAGATTCAGCATCAGCATTAGTCGCTCAGTCGTGCCTGACTCTTTGTGACTCCATGGTCTGCCCATGGAATTCTCCAGGCAGGAATACTGGAGTGGGTTGCCATTCCCTTCTCAAGGAGATCTTCCTGGCCCAGGAATCAAACCAGCGTCTCCTGCATTGCAGGCAGATTCTTTACCATCTGTACTACCAGGGAAGCCCATTGGATTGGTTTAATATGAACCACATTGAGAGCTGCTATCAAGAAATGGGAGCAAAGAGGGGAGGGCATTTTTAGGAGAGAACATCTGTTTGAACCTGTATCTGAGCTGCTCCTGGTGTAAGGAGCATGTCAGGTGAAGAACAGTGGTGACTCAGACTGGAAACATGGGTTAGTTCTTGGTTGTCCCATCACACACAGCAGCAGAGGAAAAATGAAGATGTGTAAAGGGGAATTGTTGAGTTTGACTTTGTGCATGTCTTGATTACTAAAATTGCCATCTCTTACAGACACTGATAAGCAGATGTACTGCCTTAGAAACGTGCTATTAATTACTTGAAATAAAACTGAGTGGTGGTTTTCTTCTCAGCAGCAAGGAGTGCAGCCAACAGCCCCCTCTCAGCAGGCGGCGCAGTATCCGCTCCCTCAGGCATCGGCCCCCAGCGAGGCCTCAATTGCTCAGCCCGTGAGTCAGCCTCCACCTCCACAGGCCTTGCCACACGTGTCCGCGGGAAAACAGGTGAGTGCCACATTTCTGGAAGGAGCACCGCATGACTTTTGCTTCCCTGGTGGTAAAACTGCTAAGTGGAATGAACATTACTTCTGTGCATTGTTCCCGTTCAGTCGCTCAGACCACAGCCCGCCAGGCTCCTCTGTCCATGGCGTGTCTTTTGTACATATGAATTGATTAATATAAATGGGTGTTTATACAGCAGTGGTAATCCAAGAATGTTCAGCTTTTAGGTTGAACAGAAAATAAGTTTAATAGATGTAGAACTGATAAGGGTGCTGCAGTGATGACATTTTCTAGAATTGTCAGTTGTATCTGTTCCAGGTTTGCAATTATGCTGTTTTCATGTAGACTTATGTGTTGTTCCCTGCCCTTATTGTCTTCTGACAGTCATAAAAAAAAACCCTATATGATTTTTTTTTTCCTAAATAATCTTTCTAGTCACTTGAAAAGTAGCCCTGTTGAAGATACACCTTTCTGAAGGACATTTTTTTCAACTTTAACCTTGGGACTTGGGCTTGTATTTTGATACAATGTATTGTTTCTGTCATATTTTGTCACATCTGTGAGACTGTCAGTTGTAAAATGCACCATTATTTTAGGTAACACTGAGAACTGACGCACTGTTAATTGTAAGGTATATCTTAATTTCATAAATGTTAAAATGACCATGTGGAAAGACATGATTACATCCTACAATTAGTGGAATATGGTCATAGACCTACTCTTACAGGCCTGGGTGGGACATGAGAACTGTGGAAGCAATATGGATGAGCTGTAAGTCCACTGGGGAGAAAGTCCTTTGAATTTCAGCCATTACTATAATAGCAGTTGTAAGTTTAGTGACAGCAAACGTGCCAGTGGATTATGGCTTGTGAAACATGCCTCATTCAGGATGTGAAGAAGACATTTCTTATGCAAGAGCTGTCTGTTGTTGATGGTAAAGTGTGAGCGGAATTTTCTAGTGCAGATTTAGAACAGCAGCAGTCCATCAGCCGCCTGTCTGCAGCTGCCTCTCCCTGCTCCTGTTGGCACGTTAACTTACACTAATGTATGCAGGGATTGGTGTTTGTTCTAATTTTCTTTCTTTTTGGCTAATAAACAAGTCTTGCTTTTGGCAGCCTTGCTTTTTTTCTTTTTTTTTAAGTCTATCTGTTTTGTTTTTCTTTACCTTCCCAGCTTCCAGTTTCCCAGCCAGTACCAACTCTCCAAGGCGAACCTCAGATCCCAGTTGCAACACAGCCCTCAGTCGTTCCCGTCCATGCTGGTGCTCACTTCCTTCCTGTGGGACAGCCGCTCCCGCCCTCTTTACTGCCCCAGTACCCCATCTCTCAGCTGCCGCCCGTCTCTCAGCTCCCCTCTGCTCCTCCTCATGTGTCTGTGGCTCAGCCAGGCTTCCCACCCCTGCCCGTCACGATGGCAGCTGGCATTAGTCAGCCTCTGCTCACCTTGGCTTCATCTGCTGCGGCGGCGGCTGTCCCAGGGGCACCCGCTGTGGTCCCTAGTCAGCTTCCTGCCCTGCTGCAGCCTGTGACCCAGCTGCCGAGTCAGGCTCACCCTCAGCTCCTGCAGCCAGCAGTTCAGTCCATGGGGATCCCCGCCAGCCTTGGACAGACTGCCGAGGTGCCACTTCCCCCTGGAGATATTCTCTACCAGGTATTGTGCTGGCTGGCAGAAGAAGGGCCACGGAGCGTTTGGTTGTAATGACAGAACATCAGGGACTTAAAAAATGAATAACTGAATATCATAATAACCAGCAATAACACAGGTTGCTGTTCTCATGCCAAAATAGTCCACATCTGAGAAAGGACCGGGTAGAGATGTCTGGTTCATTTGCATCTTCTCCAAGACCCCTCCTTGAGAGAAAAATGGCTCTCTCCACATTCACTGTGAGTGAGAGCTTGGTATGACTCACAGTAGATTGTATCAGGCTGCATTTTTTTATGGGAGGAGTAATGGTTGGGTAGCCAACATGGTGTCGATGGAAACCTTCAGGGTTTAGATTTAGAATACTAGCAAGTCATTATGTGATTGGCATGACTGATACCCTCAAGAGTTTTTGCATTTTCGTGTTGGACTGCCTGGAAAGTAGATGTTTTTTTGGAGGAATTATGTTTATTCTTCCTATTTAAAATCATCTCCAGAAGGGAAAAAAAGCAGTTTAAAAGTTCAGTTATGTACAATCCTGTCCTCTAAATTGAAATCAATCAATCATTTCGTTTAAAAATGTTTAAACTATTAGAGATTGGGCTACTTTTCTTTGCTGTGTGCTTTCCTTTCTTTTTCTTTTTCCCTTGCATGTCTTGCTGTTTTGCTCATTGGATGACCCAACCTGCACTAATTTCCCTTCCTCGTTTCTGTCACAGGGCTTCCCACCTCGACTGCCATCACAGTACCCAGGAGACTCAAACATTGCTCCCTCCTCCAGCGCAGCTTCTGTGTGCCTGCCTTCTGCAGTCCTGTCCCCTCCCATGCCAACAGAAGCGCTGGCTGCCCCTGGTTACTTTCCTGCAATGGTGCAGCCCTATGTGGAATCCAGTCTCTTGGTTCCTGTGGGCAGTGTAGGAGGACAGGTCCAGGTGTCCCAGCCGGCAGTGAGCTTAGCACAAGCCCCCACCACATCCTCCCAGCAAGCAGCTCTGGAGGTAAATGGAGTTCCTGCATGTTTACGTCTGAAACGTACGCACAATGGGATAGAAATGACAAAGGAGAAACATAGGTTCCCTGACTTAGGATTCATTTGGAAACTATTTCAAACTAACTTGTAAATGACTTTTTCTTACAGCAGAATGAAATGCCAGTGTGGGGGCCTTGTTGCCACTGGCTGTTCTGTTGGGAAGTGAGTGTGCCTTGAGAAGATTAACCTCGTTAGCACTTCACTTCTCTAGCTGACCCTCTAGCCGTCGTCGTTCTTAACCCTTTCTTTCACAAGTTCCTGCCATGGGCAGTCACCAGAATAGCTTCCCCTGCTATGCTCCCAGTGATCTTTTCTGCCCCACTCCAAGAGAGCTCTGAGCCGTCTTCCGCACTTTGCTCTGCCTGCCCTGTTGCACATTGTGATGAGATGCTGGCTGCATGGCAGGTTGTAGTTCCTCACTACGTAGCCGCTCCTCTGGCTGATGACACACCATTCAGTCTGTACCAGAGACTAGCTTTAGAAATTTCCTTCGCAATTTAAGACAACTGTCTGTAGATGCTGATTTTGAGAGTTATTAGTAAATGTAGTGCTTCTAGGACTTAGGGGAGGGATAAGGAAAAAAAAAGACTAGCTAGTTGGGGATGGTCAGTAATACTCTGCTTTATGGCCGAGGTGTGAATTTCCCTTTCTGTTCACAGAGCGCTCAGGTCGTCTCTCAGGTGGCTCCTTCAGAGCCAGCTCCCGGGGCTCAGCCACAGCCTGCCCAGCCAGCCACGGTGGTCTCTTCTGTAGACAGGTGTGTGACAGGGCAGTTGTCCATTCTTGATGGGAGGATGAAATAGAAGGAAGGTTGAAATCTCACCGTAAACTTTGGTTTTGCAGCGCACACTCAGATGTGGCTTCAGGCATGAGTGATGGCAACGAGAACGTCCCCTCTTCCAGCGGGAGGCATGAGGGCAGGACGACGAAGCGGCTGCATCGGAAGTCTATAAGGAGCCGCTCTCGTCATGAGAAGCCTTCCCGCCCCAAACTGAGAATTCTCAATGTAAGTGTTGCTGACTTCTGGGTTCATGCAGTTGATTAATAATGTTTAAATATTTCTAAAGCTTGGGTATATTAATGAAAGTTTGGGATCTTTTTTTTAATCACCCAGATGATATTGTTAAATTCGATATTTCTATGAGAAGGCACTGTCTTATCTTTTAGGAAAGAAATAGGGTTTTATTTGTAGAACAAAGACCTTACATTTTTTCCAGACCCTTTGGTGAAAGATGTATGCAAATGCACACTAGGTTGCTACAGTTGTATCCGACTCTGCGACCCTGTAGACTAGCCCAGTAGGCTCCTCTGTCCGTGGGATTCTGCAGGCAAGAACACTGGAGTGTGGTGCCATTTCCTTCTCCATAAGTGTACAAGCAGCTGAAAGGCTGATACTTTCTTCAGGTTTCCTTGTTAGTAGTATAAGAGGCAGTGCTTGGCCTGTGTTAGCTGTCACATTAAGTCCCAGAGCTGAGTGTGGTGGTCTGAGATGTGAAGTACCTTTCCTTTTTTCTTTTTAGGTTTCAAATAAAGGAGATCGGGTGGTAGAATGTCAGTTAGAGACTCACAATCGGAAGATGGTTACATTCAAATTCGATTTAGATGGTGACAACCCTGAGGAGATAGCCACAATTATGGTACGTCTCTGTCTGGAGTTCCAGACTTTTTCTGTGTCCTTGATCTTCATATCCACTGCCTTAGGCACTTGTGCAGTATTCTGTGAACTATTTTGACAGTAACGAATTTATTTCGGTGTGAATTTAACTAGCACACCAAACCTGTGATTTACAGGTGTTTTTTTTTCTAGGGCATGTGTAACTAGGTATTGAAGAACTGACTCACGTAGTAATCAAATCACAGTATGGGTGTTACACAGATGGGCAGAAGTGGTGATGGGATGACTAAAGCTCCAGCACTATACGAAAGGCGGATGTCACGTTCCTTTTACAGGTGAACAATGACTTTATTCTGGCACTGGAGAGAGATGCGTTTGTGGAGCAAGTGCGGGAGATCATTGAGAAAGCCGACGAGATGCTCAGTGAGGATGTCAGCGTGGAGCCAGAGGGTGACCAGAGCTTGGAGAGTCTCCATGGCAAGGATGACTATGGCTTCTCAGGCGCCCAAGTAGGTTCATTATTCCCATGGTGAAGCTCTGTTTACGGTAAAAGTATGCCGTATTTGCCTTGCAGAGTCTGAGCCATCTAGTCTGACACTTTGCGAGTGTCCGGTGATACCACATCACACCTGTAACTGAGATGATCAGCATTTATATTCTCTTTGCATGTGGCCGTTTGCTTTGCTTGATCATTAAGATTGAGTTAGAGAACACATTTAATCCCTTTTGTCTGTTGTAGAAATTGGAAGGAGAGTTCAAACAACCGATTCCTGCATCTTCCATGCCACAACAGATAGGTGAATTTCTTTTCTTTTTATTGTTTGTTCTTACCTTTTACCTAAGAAGTTGTGTGCTAATGATGAAACTTTGAAGCTTTGTGTTGGTGACAGTGTATGTAATAATAGCACCGTTAAGTGGTTTGTTTCTTTTTAAGCAGGCGTTCCTGCCAGTTCTTTAACTCAAGTTGTTCATTCTGCTGGAAGACGGTTTATAGTAAGTCCTGTGCCAGAAAGTCGATTACGAGAATCAAAACTTTTCACTGAAATTTCAGATACGGGTAAGAAATTGTTTCTCCCACATACATGTCTGTCCCTCCTAGATTGGAAGCTTGGTCATATGATGACATAGACAGTACAGAAGAGTAGAAAATTGAGACTAACCAACAGATAAACATATGGAGAAGGGAAATAGATGATGAATAGAGTGGATTTAAGCAAATGGGCCTGGAAGGGTGGCCGCACTAGACACAGTCTGTGTGACCTATGCTGCGTGGGGTCAGCACCATGTGTGTCTCCATTTAGCGCTACCATGGATGGCTTGCCGTCCCTCTGTGTCTCTTTCGGAAGTACACATTCATACAAGATGACCTACTCTGCTCGAGCTCCCCTGTCACATGCTGACACCTGCTCGGGAGAGCTCGTGCACCTTGTGGGTGTGTGGCACTGTTAAGAAGCCCAAAGATAGGTGAGAGCACCCTTCTGAATTGGCTTTTTACAACGGACTGAGTCTGAGTTTTCCTTTTCCTTTGCAGTTGCTGCTTCCACATCTGCGGGCCCTGGAATGAACTTGTCTCACTCTGCCTCGTCCCTTAGTCTACAGCAGGCCTTTTCTGAACTTAGACACGCTCGGATGGCAGAAGGGCCGAGCACGGCTCCTCCCCACTTTGGTCAGACAGGCCCTGTGTTTCCAGCAGTGCCTCCCCCACTGAGCAGCGCCCCTGGAGCCCCGGCCGCAGCAGCTGCAGCCTCAGTGTCAGCCTCTGCCCCGAGTCACCCTCTTAGTGACGTGGCCACATCGGTCATTCAGGCTGAGGTGACAGTGGCCCCTGGAACAGGTGTCATGCCTCCCAGTGGTCTCCCTGTACCCCCTGCATCTGAGTCCCTGGCACCTTCCAGCGTGGCCCCCAGCATCACCATCCCTGCAGTTCTCTCGGCACTGCCGGTGCCCCAGGCAGCGCAGGCTCCCACCCCCGGCGGCAGGGCCTCCAGTGCAGGCACTTTCCCCTCTGCACCCACATCCCTGGCACCAGCCTCTGCTGTGGGCAGTGCTGTTGCCTCCGCTGCTCAGCTTCCACCTGTGCCGTCTCAGCCCGCGGCAGGCAGCTCGGCCGGGGTGGCCACGCTGACAGCCATTCCCGCTGCCGCTCTGGGCCCCAGCCTCATGGCACCGCCGTCCCTTGCTCTCAGCAGCAGCACCTCCACCCCGGCTCTGGCGGAAACAGTGCTGGTCAGTGCCCACGCCCTGGATAAGACAGCTCACAGCAGCACCACTGGACTGGCTCTGCCCATTCCTGCCACCTCGTCCTCTCCAGCCCCCGGAGCAGGAGTGTCCAGTGCTGTTTCTCAGCCTGTTGCTGCGGCTCACCCTTTGGTTCTCCCAGCAGTCATAGCCTCTACTCCCGTACTCTCCCAGGCAGGACCCATGTCAACACCCCTACTGCCCCAGGTACCCGGTATCCCACCCCTGGTACAGCCTGTTGTCAGCGTGCCTGCCGTGCAGCAGACCCTGGTTCATAGTCAGCCTCAGCCCGCTCCGCTCCCCAACCAGCCCCACACTCACTGTCCTGAGATAGACACCGACACTCAACCCAAAGCTCCCGGGATCGACGATATCAAGACTTTGGAGGAAAAGCTGCGATCTCTCTTTAGTGAGCATGGCTCATCTGGAGCCCAGCATGCCCCCGTCTCGCTGGAGACCTCACTCGCTGTGGAAACCGCGGTCACAGCAGGCCTCCCGACTGCTGCTGTTGCACCAAGCAAGCCTCTGACTTCCTCTGCCAGTACTTGCTTGCCACCGGCCAGTCTGCCATTAGGAGCAGCTGGCTTATCAGTTATACCAACGGTCACTCCTGGGCAAGTTCCCACCCCAGTCAGCTCTGCGCCAGGAGTGAAACTGGAAACTCCTCCAGCAAAGCCACCTTTAACTAAGCCTCCAGTAAGATTCTTATTTTGAGATAGTTTGGAAAATATTGCTCTTCCCTACCCCCACCCCAAACTACATTTTTCAGTTCAGCCTTGCTGTATGGTTATAATGATGCTTGGCTTCCTAATAGTAGATACTTATTAAATTAATTGAAGGTAATTTTAGAATATTTGTTCATTGAACTTGAGATTTTTCTCTTTTGAAATGTGTCAGGATTTGGGGTTAACTGTAAGATTTTCTAAGAATGTATAGTAGGTAAAATACAGGCATTGTTTCTGAATCGGTACAGACTGATACTGAAGAAACCCATATCCCGCAGGGCGTGGAATGCTCCTGCTGGCAGCTGCACCTGGTAACAGCAGCTCACAGTCTTTGTTTCCATGAGAATGAAGCAGGTTTTCTGCTTTGCTCAGATTCCATAGACACACAATTTGAAGTTTATAAAAAGTTGGAAGTTGGTAAATTTGATGGAAGGAGAAGTGAATCTAACGTGAAGGATACGATTACTAGAATGTGTTTGCTGGTTCTGCTGTGGTGCCTCCCTCTCATTCTGCCATCTTCAGTCTCTGCTTTTCTCCAGCAAGGCTGTGTTTCTCCTGTTTGCCTGCCCCTCTTTCTGCCTTGCCTTCTGTGTGAGATCCCTTTACAGTGGGGTAGCACAGCGGCTTCGCTCAGACAGCATACGGATGACTTGATGGCATTAGATTTCTGATGCCTTTGGCTATCAGACCTGCCCCGTGGTTATTTCTGAACTGTGCTGTGCCCTCAGACACCCTGATGACACTGTGCCAGACAGGCTTGCGAAGGCCTGGCCTATGCCTCGTGTCCAGCAGCCTTTATCCGCTCTGCTTTCCCTCAGGAACAGCCTTTTACTAAGTTCTGTTCGTTGTGTTGGTATATCATGGTAACCCCTCTAAGAGTGCCACGGTCATAATGTCCTTTATTTATGATAGATACCAGATTGTGACCCAGGCAACAAACTTCCCTTAACCAGATGTGTCCTGTTCCTATGCTTCTACATTTGAATTAGTTGGTTTGCTCTCTGTATGCTGTCTCTGCTCAGCATCTCACGGACTTGAATTTGCCTTCATTGTGTGTAGGTGCTGCCCGTGGGCACTGAACTTCCAGCTGGTACTCCGCCCAGTGAGCAGCTGCCACCATTTCCGGGACCTTCACTAACTCAGGTGCCCTTCAACTTGGCAGATTTCTGTTTGTGCCTCTCCTTTCTTTCTCAAAGCTTATTGCAGTTCTCCACTGCATGAACTTGCCTCTGGCTCCCGTTTGGTTTTGACTTAGTAACAACTTGCTTTTAAAACACCGTAGCTGACAATATAGGTCCTACTTAAAGTCAGAAGTAAATCATCTAGAAATCATTTGATATTAATATTTTTTCATATCTTATGGAAAAAAATAGTAAACGTGACATTTTGCCAGAAAAGATATAATTGCTTTGTCATTCATACTTCTGTAGAATACTGAAAGATTACACCATTGGGCAAGTGAAAAATTTTTACGTGATCAAAATTAATGGTGAAATTTCCCAAGAAAAGGGTGCCACCCTGATAACTGATAATGGCCTGTTTTTTCTTGAATTTTGACATTTCTCTCAGTGACCTCTTCATGAAGTAATTGGGTATGAGAGGGTCATGGTTACGAAAAACAGATACTAATCTTAAAATCCAAAACCCAACAGAGCTCAGCTAACATGAGATTGCTCAGAGACAAGTGAGACCAGTGACGTAACAATGAGATCCCATCTCACATCCATTCTGCTCACTTGGGGTCAGAATCGCCTGCAGTCTGTGAATTAATATGGCTTTTCCCAATCTACCCCCAACCTCACACATGAGTCAAATTCCTATAAATAAAGTACTTGGTATGATCCCATTGTAACTATGTAAGAGCTTGTGACACAGGACAAGTTAGTAAACAGTGAAACTAAATTAGGGACTTACTTTAGAATAAGATGTAAGAAAAAATATGATAAATTGCTAACTTGAAGTCTGAGTTTGTCCTTCTTTAATCCCAGATACACAGTAAAGCATAATTTAAGCAACTTGCTAAATAAGTAATAACTACAATAGAGAACCCAAACTCCATCAGGTGCTAAACTTTGAAAAAGAATGTGAAAGTCTTGAACCTATTATCTCATTAAAAACATGTATTCCAGTTCCTCAGAAGGCCCAAAATGTGAAATGAGAAACTGAAAATTAGACCTGTGGGAGTGAGGCTACGGGGACGAAAGCTAGAGAGATGCGCGGTTGATGGAGGCCAAGGCAGTGACAGTGTGCTGCTGCCTCCTGTTATTCACAAGGACAGGTCCTCAGGGAGATGGACCAAACTGAAGAAGAAAATAGGGAACCATACGGCTAATCTGCCCGTCAATCTTGATATATGTCTTAGAATATATTTTTACGGAGAGGACAGATATAAGAAAGAAGACCTCAAAACTGTAAAAATATAAATGTAAATGGGTTTTTGTGTGGCTTGAGAACTTGATGATACTGTTTTGAGAGCTTGGTTAATCATTCAAGCAGGAAAGCTAAGGTGAGTGTAGATTATTGGGTTCAGTACTGAGTGAGCAGAGAAGGTCACGCGTGTGGTCTGAGCAGGAAGCAGTGTGTCCCGTGTGCATTGGCACTGGCCGTGCCCGAGGGTATGCTCACCATGCTGTGTCCTTCAGCCCCCGCAGCCCCTGGGAGACCTGGACGCTCAGCTGAGAAGAACCCTCAGTCCCGAGAGTGGCGTGCTGACGTCTGCCGTTGGTGTGAGTTCTGACAACCTTGATAAAATCTCCCCATAACCCTCATGTCTTAGGTTTCTGGGATGTAAGCTGTGACCTTGACCACTTTGAATACCTTTAGCACCAAAGCAGAGTCTTTGCGTTTGTTCCAGTCAACAGAAATGAGATGGTTAATGAAGGAGTAACCCTGACCTAGCAGCGTAACCAAGCAAGACATTAGTTTTGATTTTCTTATCTTCCCTGTAGTTAGAGCTCTCCCACAGACCAGCCCTGTGGATGCTGTGTTTATGCCTGGCAGGAGGCCACACTTTTAAGTTTGAAGTCTTAACGTTTTCCTTTTAGGCTTGTGACAAAATAATGTTCTGATTCAGATTACTTTTCTGTGAATATCCATGTTTAAGCATTCCATGAGAAAAATTAAGAAAGCAATTTGGAAAGGTGAAGACTCAAAATCTCTTTAAAAAATCTCTAAAACATCTGCCTTTCTTTACATCAGACTAGTTTTTAGGTTATTAAAGAAAAATTGCCTTAGACAAAAGTGTTTCTTTACATATCCTGTCTTTCTGCTCTTTCTGACCAGCAGAAAGGCAGCAGGGAAAAGACCCTCTTACCAAGCCTCTGACACTAAAGCCGTCGTGGTGTCTGTGTGTGTCTTGCAGCCCGTGTCTGTGGTGGCTCCAGCAGTGGTTGTGGAGACAGGAGCCCAGCTTCCGAAGGATGGTGAGAGCACCCTTCTTCCTCCCTGTTCCCATGCCAGGCCTTCCTATAGTTGATGGTGGGAGGTACACGTTCTTGAGAGTTTGCAGGTGTACTTGAGCCTGTCAGAGGACATTCTTATGTATTTCCTGATTGACAAGAACCAATACTAACATCTAGAGCAATAATGTCAGTAGGGTCATGAGGTTTTTACTTCTTTTTGAGCAGTGGCTTGCCAGGGGGTAATGATAGTTTCTTAGCATAAGACTCTTTGTTTTTAGCTAGGCCAGATCCTTGCTAAAACATCACAAGGAAATTCAAGCATATTTATAAAAGTTAATTTATTTGCAGCCTCTTGGCTTTTGAGATGTATAGAAATATAGAAGCTTAAACAGCATGGATGGTGAAAATGCATATGTAAGAGTTCAGATTCTCAGTTTTAAACATTATTTTTATCTATTTCTGAATTGTTTAGAATTGGCATGTCCGTAAAATAATCTGTTTTAAAAAGGTACATTTCCAAAAAAATTTAATTCTGTAAAAATTATCCATACCAACAGCTTAAATGTTTTATTAGAACTTTAATCATGATGTTAGTTGTAAGTTCATATCAGCTATTGTTGCTGTAAAGTTTTGTTGTAAATCTCTCTTCACCATCAGTCCCACAGAACATGGGAAATTTAACACTTTTTTTTGTTGCCTTTTCCAAATAACCATCCTCCTCAACACCACCTGACATAAGTGTAATTCCCCGTATAACTATTAGTAAGATTGCCTGAATGCTCTTACTACTTCCTGTCTTCCTTAAAAGTGCTAAGTTTCACTTAAGACCTTTCTAAATTAAATTATTTTCAAGACAGTCACACTGTGAATTGGCTCTTATTTTAAAAGAAGTGACTTGAAAATGAGTGGAATAGACTAGAAAGTCTAGAAATGGACAAACTAAAATGGAATGTAGAATATGAAAAAGGTAGCCTTTCAAATCGATGAGACGAGATGGGGTATTTCAGTAAGGGGTTTGGACAACTGGACAGCCATCTGGAAGAAAATAAAGATGTATCACTAGCCTAGGCCAAAATAAATTCAAAGTGGATCTTTATTTTTTTCAACTATCTAGAACAGAGTTGACAAACTTGTCCTGTAAGAGGCCAGAGAGGAGATATTTCAGGTGTTGCTGGCCATACAGTCTCTGTCCCAACTACTCAAATATCTAACCTGTTGTAGCCCCAAAGAAATAATAGATAATAAATGAATGAGCTATGTTCCAATAAAATTTATTTATAAAAACAATCTGTGGGCTAGATTTGGTTCACAGATCATAGTTTGTTACTCCCTGATACAGAGAAAGATGTTATTATTATGTTTAATACCCAACCCAGAAGCATTTATAGATTTTCAATTTCTGCATGGGGGGGAAAGGACTGTTACGTCCAAAGAGAAAGATAAATGAAAACCTGGGAAATGTGTGTGTTGTATATGCCTGTCACAAAAAGGACTTAGTTTTGCCAGGATAAAGAATTTCTGTATATTTGGCATAGACCAAAATTTTAAAAAAGATAACTGGGGAAAAAAAAAACATAGACATGAAAATATTTGACTTCCTTCATGAAACAGAACAGTAGAATAAAACTACAAGTCATCATATTTTCCCCCTGTCCTTAGTAAATTCAGAAGTTAATAACCACTGGTGACTTGGTATATATATAGCGTTTTTGGAGATCAGTTTATGTCTGTCAGAGTTTTAAATGGCAGAGATTCAGTACGCCCATTCTTAATTTACTCCATGATTTTTAATATAAGAATATACATATTAGAGCAGTTGCTGCTATAAAAGTCTGCTACAGCTAGTTCCCATTTAAAATGGGTCTCTAATGTCTTCAACAGACTCTCATGGTTTGCTTCATTTATTTACATCTTTGAGTTACAGGACAGAGCTATAGTGTCCCTGCCTGTCAGCCTTAGTATCTCTTCTTGTGTGAGTTAAGCCGGGAAGCTGCATTGCTGCTGTGTGGCTTTTATTCCTCCACGTGGTGCTCTGTCCTGTGTATGGTATACGGGGAGGCAGAGGGTTACACAGAAGGTGTCTGGTAGGAAGGCGAGCAGTAACCGTTTCCCCTTGTCGGGCTCAGTGAGGGGGGACAGATATAAGGAAGTGTTCCTCTCCTCTAATGAGTTTTTTCTTGGAATGCACAGTTTCTATTTGCTATGTTTCTGGCTAGGGAAAGGAAGCTGCTAAAAAGATGCTGACATTTGTTCCTTTCCTCCTCCGTGTAGTTGTTTCAGTCTCTCAAGTCACAGAAGCTCCTGTCCTTGCACCCACTTCTACAGCTGGTGTTCTGAAGATGGGGCGATTTCAGGTGAGACTCTCGCTTTTAGAGGGTAGTGTGTGTGTGATGAAAAAAGGATCCCCAATACGGGGGATAGTGGTGTATGTATGATAAAAAAGGAATTTCCCATTTCGGGGTGGGAGTGTGTATATAAGAAACACATCTGTCTTTGGGAACCGAATTGCCATCAATGACATGTCTTTTTTATAGGGAGCACTTAAGAGCTGTTTATCATTTTCCTCTCTTAAAATAATACCTGCTGATTAAGGAAAATGAAGAATACTTAGAGTGGTAGAGAAACAGTAGACAGTTGTATCCCTGCCTATCCTCCTCTTTTCCTTCTGCTCTGTGCATGTGTGGACCTGATGTTGACCCTGCTTCTTTTCTGATGGCTCTCTGTAGCTTTTCCCATTTAGGTCTAGGGTTATCTAGCCATTCTCCTGTTGTCAGTCATTAGGCTGTTTCTAATTTTTTAATAAGGAACAGTAAACATCTTTGTATAAAAACAGTTTTCATGTTTAGGATAACTTTCTTAAGTTTGATTTCACTGAGTCAGCATCAAATGATACCGTGTAATTATATTTTCCCAGTTGGGAAGCAAAATGTGATAGGAAACAGTGCAGGCTTTAAAGATCTTTTTCTGTTTTCTTAGCTACTTTCTAATTATTCTCAGGATAGCACTTGAAGCTGAGGGTATTGGGTCATGTTCTTCTCATTTGTAAAGTGTTCTCAGAGTTTGTGGTTGCCCTGAGTTTGTATTTATAATACTTTGTCGAACTAGCACAGGAATATGGATCCTTCCTTTAGCACTAACTAGTTGTGTTGTTTCTTGAAGCTTAGCTGGCCTTTAACATTTATTGGATTTAATCTTTGTAGTTTCTCTTGTTCAGAAGCAATCATCAGTATTCTGTGACCTGTTGTTATTTATATTTTCACAAGATGCGATCTGAGTCCTGTGCACAACGGGAGATAATGGAAGTAGCAAATTTACTCAGCTTAGCCAGCCGCTCAGAATCTGCATCTGATCGTACATCTCAGTGCAGACGTGTCTTGCTCTACAGTGTGGTTCCTTGTGTTTTCACAGGTAGAGGGCCTGTGCAAACAAATAATTCGCCTACTCAGACTGGGACGTAAAGTGATTCACTTTTTTTTAATCATCCATTGTAAAAATGGAGTGTTTGGGAGTTTTTTAATCTCACTTTGGTCTATTTATGTCAGGTTTCCGTTGCAATGGATGATCCCCAGAAAGAGGGTACAAGTAAGTCAGAGGATGTCAAGTCTGTCCACTTCGAATCCAGCACGTCAGAGTCCTCAGTTCTGTCGAGTAGCAGCCCCGAGAGCACCGTGGTGAAGGCAGAGCCCAATGGGCTGGCCATCCGGGGCGCCTCTGCAGATGTGCCGGACAGCGCCCGCCCGCTGCCCACCTCAGAAGCTGGGCAGCCTAGCAGGGTTGGCCGCTTCCAGGTGACCACCACAGCGAGCAGAGTGGGCCGCTTCTCTGTGTCCAGAACCGAAGACAAGATGGCTGAGGTGAAGGGAGAGGAGCCAGTGGCCTCCCCTCCTTTCGTGGACTCGGAACACGACCTTCCTCCCACCGTGACGCCAAAGAAAGAGAAACCTGAACTGTCGGAGCCTTCGCATCTGAACGGGCCGTCTTCCGACCTGGAGGCTGCCTTCCTCAGCCGGGATGCGGATGCCGGCTCAGGGAGCCCACACTCCCCTCCGCAGCTGAGCTCCAAGAGCCTTCCTGCCCAGAGCCTCAGTCAGAGCCTCAGCAATTCCTTCAACTCTTCCTACATGAGCAGTGACAATGAGTCAGACATTGAAGACGAGGACTTAAAGTTAGAGCTTCGCCGACTACGGGAAAAGTGAGTGTGTTTCTCCCATGAGGGTGGCGACAGAGCTGTGTGAGGACCCAGCTCCTGGTGCTGGAGAGGTGACGCAGGAGCGGGGCCTCTGGATGTAGTTCTCGGGAGGACTCGGGGCATCCCTAGTTACAGAACTGCCTCAGCACCTGTGCATGACTGCTACCGTGTGGTTTTTAACAGTAGCACTTTAGCGTTATTAACCTAAGCCTAACCATTTCCTGGTCTACTGAATGAACCTGGTAATGGCACTGGGGTGTAGATTGCCTTAGGTTTTCTTGGTCACAGTTGACAAACTGGATTTGAGTTGCCAATTTAGTATCCTGTATAGAGCCTCAAAGTCAGGAAATCCTTCTGGAACATCATCATCCATTTGTGGTTGGCTAGGAGCTGGTTGGAATTTGGCTTGGGTGATGGAGGCCAGCAAGAAGAGCTGAAAAACCAGAATCGCAAGCTAGTATAAATTAGATTAAGTGCATTTGAGGGACAGATTCATTAGTAAGTAAAAATGTGGGTAAAGGTGAAATAATGTTAATTTTTGTTGAAACAGAGTTGGTTATTCTATTTTTAAATTGTTTGGTTATCTTTTGTAGACATCTTAAAGAGATTCAGGACCTGCAGAGTCGCCAGAAGCATGAAATTGAGTCTTTATACACCAAACTGGGCAAGGTTCCTCCCGCTGTCATCATTCCCCCAGCAGCCCCCCTTGCAGGGAGAAGGAGGCGACCCACCAAAAGCAAAGGGAGCAAGTCCAGTCGCAGCAGCTCTTTGGGGAATAAAAGCCCTGGACCAGGTCAGCCGTGGACATCCTGTCTTATGTTTCTGTCTCCATTTGTGTATACAATCTTTTGAATATTGGCTACTTCAGTTGAATTAATTGTGAAGGAGATTGACTTTTCTGTACTCTCACTTCCTTGCCTTCTGCTCCCCATATTTATAGCACCTCTTTTTGAGTCTGGGAGACAGGGTAGTGCTGTGACCTTTTCCTGGGTTGTCCACATCACTGTCTGGTGGTTGCCCTCACGTGTAGTTGTTCTTGACTCACAGAACTCACATGTCCCCAAACTCCTAGGCGGCCGGAAAAAAACACGCTGTTCTCTATTTAGTAAAGTCCAGGTCAGTTCTCTTTTTAATGAGTGGAGTGGTCATAATCACAGTTGGGATGAATGTAAATTTCATATAGGTGTTTGGGTATGTCATGTGATAATGTCCTTGATTAAAGTTGTGTTTTATTTAGCTATATTGGAATAAAGAACATGCTAGTATTTATAGTTAAAAAACAGTTAAGTCATAATTTCTTGAATTGTGATTTGCCTATTTTCTTAATTATGTAGAGAGTTTTTACCCTTTGGTGAAGTTAATGGTAATGTTAGATAACTAGTTGTAAGTAAAAGCAGCTGGAACATACTTTCACTTCACACTAGCTCTTCAGTTCTCATGTAACTGTATTGGAAAGCACTTGCAGGCTTAACAGTTTCCCATTCTCTGCAAGTTTTCAGGAGCCCAAACCTTTTCTCTGGGATGTTAGAGCCAGTTCATTATGAGATGTGAGATCATACGTCACAGCAGCTAATTTAGATTCTGATCCCAATTTCAACCTTCTTTTGGAATGCACTTCTGTTCCACTAGTTACTCTAAGGAATAGCCAGGTGTCCACACTTTAGGACACCTGGCTAATGAGTGAAAGCCACTTATCAAAAATAACTCTAAATATGCATTACTCTACAATCCCTGTATCATTTCTGACACCTTTGTACTTGGTTTGACACATGTACCAGAAAGACTTAGGAGAGGCTCTCTCTGGACCAGTCTCAGCATGTTATGAGACTGAGGAGAGGCTCTCTCTGGACCAGTCTCAGCTATAAGAGGGTAAAGGCAGGGCTGAGGCTGCACAGGGGAGTTCTCAGGTCTCCTACACGTGCTCTCATCTTACCCAACTTGGACTCCTGAGTCCCCCAGGTTATCCGCAACTCAGCAGCTTCAGGGATGGGGCCCTGCAGCCCTGTTGCCTCTCCTCCATCTCTTACTCCCCGTCCCGTCTGGAGGCCTTTGCCCTTTGGTCTGTAGCTTTTGACCCATTATCACTCCCTCAGTGGGACAAGCAGTGGACAGTAGTTGTCCCATGCAGGGGGAAAGCGGTGCACCTCCCTCACACCACTGTATCTTCTGACAGGTACCCTGTCTGGTCAGAGTGCAGCTTCAGTCTTGCATCCTCAGCAGACCCTCCCTGCTCCTGGCAGCATCCCAGAGACAGGGCCCAACCAGCTGTTACAGCCCATGAAGCCATCTCCTTCCAGTGACAACCTGTATTCGGCCTTCACCAGTGATGGTGCCATTTCAGTACCAAGCCTTTCTGCTCCAGGTCAAGGTGAGAGCCACGAGCAGCCACCATCCTCCGAGAGCCTTGAAATGGAGACACAGCCACACGCAGGACAGAAGCCTGGGGCAGGCGGGTGGCTTGGGGGAGCAGTGGACCTGGTACCAGCCGCCTGCTGCCCACACGGTTCTTTGGGCTTTCGGGGGTGGGTGGCAGCCCGCTTGGGTGAGATCACTGCTTCCTTCTGGTGGAAGTAGGTTTTCTTCAAGGGATTATAGCAGAAAGTGCCTCTGATGCTTCAGTGCAGTGCAGGACTCCTTTGGGATTTGGAACTTATGATTTATAACACTGGACTAGGGTTTCCTGCAACCAGATTCTTAGGTGTTTTAGCCCTTGCTGAAAGTTAATGCATTTGTTCAGCCAGTGTAGCCTTTAATAATTTCCAAGTGTGAGAGAGACATACTAAAGTGAATAGCCCTAAAATTCAAGTTGCTACCTTTAACCTGCTTCCCAAGTGTAGGTTGTTTAATAAACCGAGGTTTAATAAAATGATTACTCACAACATTCCTGTAGAGGAAAGACCTTTTAGTGACATTAGAACTTAAAAGGTGTTGGGCATCTGGGTGGAAGAGAATGAAGGGGACCAAATGGCAAACGGAGGTGCTTTTGCCGCAGCTTTGCGGAGGTTAGAGGTTAGCCTGTCTCTCGCAGGACGCGCGTGCTGGCGGGTGGTGCAGTCTGGGCCGGTGGAGGACAGGCCTGACCCCTGCCACTGGCGTGCAGGCCTGTCCTGCAAGCTCGTCCCTCTGTGTGCCGTCCTAGCACATCTGGCTCCCAGCTCGGGTTCTAACGTCTCGTAGCTGTGTTCTGTCTCTTCTCTCCCTGTTCTCCCCGTTCTTCCCCTCCCACAGGCTGTGCCAAGTTTAACTGTGCGTCCGAGCAGGTGACATTCAAAGCTGGCGGCAGGAGGACGCGATTTCTGAGTACGCCCTGCTTGGCTCTTTGTGTGTAACACCTTTACTCCTTCCTCGTCCTCGTGTCTGCGCTGGGTCTGTCTCGCGCGCTCCATTTTCATCTGTGTCTGTGCGTCATCTCCGCAGTGGCTTGGCTGAACTAGTATTGCCCTCAGAAGTTTGGGCCTCTGTTAATTATGATAAAAGATGGAGAGCTGATCATAGGTTTCTATAAACATCAAAATGAATTTTCTGATACAACTGCCTCTTCCTCAGCCTGTGCCAGAGGGCAGCCTGGTGTCCAGGGCAAGGGACTGCTGGGTCACTCAGCATAGTGATGTCCGCGCGCCCAGCCATGCATAGTGCTGCCCCTTGATCTGGCATTAGAAGTCACAGAAAGCTTCCTGATCACTGGTGCAGGGAAAACTGAAACCCTGTTTTTATATTATTTTTCAGAGTAGATTGAAAGGTTTTTTTTTTTGTAATCTCAGTTAAGCATAACCATCTTATCAATTGTAAAGATGCTGGAATCTCTTCACTGGATGCTTTCACCACCACTGCCCTCTGATTCCATAAAGTCAGTATTTCAAAGAGGGTTTCAGTGTAATTCGTCTTATAAATTATGCTCATTAAGACCGAGGGCCAGCACCTGTAAGTGAAGATGGGCTTTTTAACAAAATTGCTGGGACTTCTCAGCTTTCTTCCCCAAAACAAGGCATCTGCTTCTCCAGCCCACCTCCCTGTGTGAGGAGTGAGGGCGGTCTTGCATAGACCCGGTGAGATCACGGGCGCAAGACAGGAGCCCAGGGAAGCACACATCATTGCTCTCTGATGAGCCTGGCACGTTCTGGTAGTTGATAAATGTATGTTGAAATGAGAATTTTTAAAACAGGTTTAAATAGAAAGCCTTCATTTGAGCTGAAAGATCTTCTCTGTTAAGGCCTCAAACTTCTGATATGGCTGTTGACATACCTTTTAAGTGCATGTGCTCTGGACTGTCGTCGTTTCTTGAATGTGGTTCAGAGGTCCTTGGGCCTCATGCAACACTAGTCCAGGACTGTGTGGCCAAGAGGGAGGTAGAAGACCTGCCCCAGTTGGTGGGGCGACAGCTTTCCTGGCAAGCCTGAGCGGGTGAGTGAAAGTCGCTCAGTGGTATCCAGCTATTTGTGACCCCATGGACTACACAAAGTCCATGGAATTCTCCAGCCAGAATACTCGGGTGGGTAGCCTTTCCCTTCTCCAGGGGATCTTCCCAACCCAGGGATCAAACCCAGATCTCCCGCATTGCAGGCGGATTCTTTACCAGCTGAGCCACAAGGGAAGCCCAAGAATACTGGGGTGGGCAGCCTATCCCTTCTCCAGGGGTGTCTTCTGGACCCAGGAGTCGAACCGGGGTCTCCTGCATTGCAGGCAGATTGTTTACCAACCGAGCTGTCGGGGCCTGGCAAGGCTAGGTTGAACCAAGAATAAGTTATTTCCTCAACACTTAAGTAAGCATTTAAGTCCAGTTAGAAAGATGACTGAAGAGACAGTAATAGCAGGAGACAAGTGTTTGGAGGTGTCAGTCCTGTGTTATGTAGCCTGTAGGGTCTCGGGGAAGGAAAAGCACCAGGGCATTTTTTGAGGGATGTGTCATGTGATAGAGACCTCTTCTGTTAGCTCAGAACATTCTCATCGCACTCCGAAAGGTAGGTGGTGTTACAGTGTTGTTCAGATGAAAGTGGTTTGAAGTATTAAATCTGATCGCTCCCTTAGGTCTAAAATGAGAGGCCCTGCCTCTTTTGGAGGCATATCAGCGTCCATCATGTAAGCCTTTGTGAGCAGATGGCAAGATGCAGATTTAAAGCAAACAAACCCAGTGGTTTAGGACTGCCGAGCCCTGGTTCAGTCCCTGTCGGGGAACTAAAGGCCACAAGCAGTGTGGTGTGGCCGAAGAGAAGAAAAAAGGTGAAACAGCAAATTTGGACAGAGATCGGGCTCTCGGGCATGGGGTCTTAACTAGTCTGGGGTGCTTCACTCTATGCTCAAAATAGATAATGGTTTGGAAGCACGGCTTGGCTTCATGCTTTATTTTTGTTCGAAAGTTGCTCGTTTTCCACATACTTTTTAAAAAAGATTTTTCTAGGGGGGACGGGGTTAGTATGTATGTCTAGGGTTTGGAAATAGTGTGTTAGCCAGTTTAAATGAGAACTGTAACAATGGTACCATCTGTCAGCCTCCTGTGGTAGAATTGCTAATGCATTTAATGCAGTGCGTCTTAACAGCCCAGCAGGAGAAGCAGGAAGGGGCCAGGGCGTGGAGAGACTGCCTGGGTACTTGAGGTTCCAGCAGTGAGGCCAGAGCCCCAGAAGCCTGGTGCAGGGTCGCTCCTGCAGACAGAGAGTGGGGTGGGGCCATGGGCCGGGAGGGGGCCCCCTGCACAGCCTGGCGCCTGTGCCGGTCCCCGTCCTCTCCCCTCCTGCTCTCTCCTGCTGGGCCCTGGTGTGCTGTTTGGAGAGTCTATAATTATTTTATACTTCTGTTTCCTTATCTTTAACACACTGCTCTCTCTTTGTGCTTCAGGGAAGATGGTGAAAAAAGTCTGCCCTTGCAACCAGCTCTGTAGTAATTATCCTTTCTTTCTGTTACTTCTGGTCCCTGACTGTGAAGCGAGTCACCCTGAGCTCTTTGCGCCCCGCAGCCTCTCGACTCCCAGATCCCAGCCCTGCACCCTTTTCTGGTGTCGTCTTCAACACGCTCAGTGGTTGCCACTGGCTCTCCTTCCAGATTCTGAGTCCCCTCACAGTCCATGCTCTCGGTGGCAGCCCGCACCCAGCCCTGTGACCGCTGTGGGTGGGCGCGCCCGCGGGGGTGTATAGGGTGAGTGGGGCTGCCTCGCGCCCCCTGAGGAGTCAGCCAGCTGTGTAGACAGTGCGAACAGTAGCAGCTGCCGCCAAGGGACTCTTCCAGAAAACGGTGCTTGGGAGGCAGCAATAAGCGTGGCTCATAGTGGGCTCTTGTTACTAGGAGGGGGCAGGGGTGGGGGGCAGACTACAGCAAGAGAACATTTTGGTGGGAAAGCATGCACTGCTTTTAGAATTTTTGAGCAGAACTGAGAAGGGTTTAAAGGACAGTGAGTGTCCTCTGAAGGCTGGCCGTGTCTCGGAAACGCCTGCTCTGCCGGTCTCGTCACCGCTTTCCTGCTGCCACGGACCACATGCACTTCCATTCTCCTGGGTTTAGTAGCCAAGCCAGCTTTTCCCAGAGTTAATTTCTGCTTGGAAAGGGGTGTGTGTGTGTCATCGTCTCACGGGAAGGCGGTTTTCAGAAGCCAGAATGAGAAGGTTGCCTGTGTGGCTGACGCTCCCCCGGTGTCCACCCCGAGTCATGTCGAGGGGCCTCAGCACCCAGCTGAGCCCAGCCTGTGACCAGCAGCGCTCCCCTCCACGGGCTCCTGACAGCTATGCTCACTTGTGATCCTTTGTGTCGTCCTCATTGTTTCACTCGCCACCAAGCTCATGCCGCCGTGGTCACTCACCCGGGGGGCGGGGGGTGAGATGGTCCCCATGCATGCGCTGCGACACCCATCCCCACCCCCGTCCCCCGCCTGCGCTGTCTCCCTCCTGCCGTCCCGGAAGCCTGTGTCCTGTGCATCCCACTTTTCCTCCTGGGTTCTGCTCTGTAGGGAACTCAGCCCCCACCCCCTGCCCCCCGTGTTGCCTGGGTGCTGAGAAGCACGGGACCTCTGCGCCGGGCAGCCTCGCCTCACGACAGCTGATCCTCCCGCGCTTGGGCTTGGGTGCCCGGCCCAGGCGGGTGAGCCTCCCCGTCGTGGGGCCTGGGGGTGGGGGGAGTTGCTTCTGGCACTGCTGGACTGTGACAGCGGGCAGTGTCCACGTTTAGATGTTCAGCCCTGGCCTTGACTGGGGATCTGAAGTCCTCTAGGCTCACACCTTACAGTGGCCGCTTACAGTTATTCCGCAGCACATGTGAGATCTGGTAAGAAAGTGGGGGTGCGGGGAATACACAAGACCCTGACTCTTCTTTCCCTCTTCCCTCAAACCTGCCTCTCGAATAATCGCCAGTGTGCCCTCCAGCAGAGCCGAAATCAGGCAGGACACAGACTCCTTTCTTCCTCATCAAACCATAGAGTCCCTTCATCGCAGCCCCAGAGCCTCCTGCTCCCCCACAGCCCCCACCTCCCTGGGTGCACAGAGAGTGCCTGCTCTTTGGGGAGAGTCAGGGTGGGAGAAGCCAGCCACGGTGCAGCCGGGGTCGTCCTCGGGGACGCCGTGGCTTCCTGGAGCCAAGAGGCTCGGGCACAGCAGAGAACCTTCGCGTCCTCGTGCTGCTTCACTCACGGGGAGCTGGGAGAGGTTGAGCCTTCACTCTCCCAAGTTCATGTTTGCATTCATGTTTAGGGGCCCAGGTGAAGAAGCTTTCTGAACAGAGCACGCGTTCTCTCGTCTCCCTCTCTGTGGAAGAATGGCTGAGCGCGTCCCAGACCCCAGCCCCCCGAGGCTGGGGAGCCCGGCCCTCCTCGGGCCTGTGCTCACAGTGCTTCGGCTCCCGCGGGGACCCTGCCTGTGCTCGGGGGGCCCTCGTCGCGTGCCCTATCCTGCAGCGTCCAGAGCAGCCAGGCTTGGCGGCTACAGCACACAGCTCTCCTCAGCGGGTGCTGGGCACAGAGGCCCAGAGCAAGTGTCCGTGCTCCCGACACCGCGGGGACGGGCGCAGTGAGGCCCCCCGCCCTCATCCCTCCCCGGCAGCTCCTGAGGAGAGCCTCCCCCGGCCCTGCTCCGCCGCGGCGTTTGGCTCCCGAGACCCTGAAACCTCCTTTCTGCATGGCTCCCTGGTTCATCCCCCATCCTGGGCTTGCCGTTCATCATCGTGGGAGGTTTCTCCTCTCCCTGAAGTCACCACCCAAGTCCCTGCTAACAGGCGTGCCTTGTTGCTTCTTCTGACCTCAGGGACCAGCAGCACCAACGCCGTCGGGGGAGCCGTGAGCAGCCAGGCCGCCCCGGCTCCACCTCCTGCCGTGACGTCCAGCAGGAAGGGCACGTTCACGGATGACCTGCACAAGCTGGTGGACAACTGGGCCCGGGACGCCATGAGTCTCTCAGGCAGGCGGGGAAGCAAAGGACACGTGAGCTATGAGGTCAGCGCGCCCCTCATGCTTCCTCCTGCCTGTCCAGTGTCGCTGGGCACACGGGACCCTGCCATGACCACCTCCAGGGGCTCCTGAGTTCTAGCACTTCCGGCAAGAAAGAAATCAGCCAGGTCCCTTAGGTTCTTTCCCTGGATTCCTTTGTCTGAACCGAGTCAGCCCAGTCTTTCTTCCCCTTTCCTTAACACTCTGAATGGCGTGTGCTCGCACCGCTCACACGAGGCATGCGACGCCACCCCCTTCCAGTCAGAACAGGTATGTGGTGTCAGGAGCCAGTGATGGTGACCGAAGGCTGTCTGGGAGTTGTTCCCCCGACTCTGGAAGGTCAGAGCAGCCCAGTCCTAGAACTCTCCCTCGCCCTGTGCCTGTCCCACCCGCACGGCTTCACCGGCCTATTCTCTCCCCAGGGCCCTGGCATGGCAAGGAAGTTCTCCGCGCCCGGTCAGCTGTGCGTCTCCATGACCTCAAACCTGGGCGGCTCTGCCCCCGGCTCTGCAGCGTCAGCTACCTCTCTAGGGCACTTCCCCAAGTCCATGTGCCCCCCTCAGCAGTACGGTTTCCCTGCCCCCCCGTTTGGCACGCAGTGGAGTGGGACGGGTGGCCCGGCACCTCAGCCGCTTAGCCAGTTCCAGCCTGTGGGAACAGCCTCCTTACAGAATTTCAACATCAGCAACTTGCAGAAATCCATCAGCAACCCCCCAGGTTCCAACCTGCGGACCACGTAGACCCAAGGCGATCCTGGGGAAGGTTTGGGGGCAGGAGATGGAATGTGGGGGGTGGGGGGGAATAGCCTGTATGCTAACTACTAGTGCTGCATTTAACTGGTCATTTCTTGCCAGAAAGGAATGTTTTAATCCCGCTTAGAGCCCTTGGAGTGGACTCTCTCCCCTGCCCTCAGCGCCGCCTGGAGTGGGAGGAGGAGAGAGGGCAGCTGTCTTGTGTGCTTTGTCGTCACCCAGACCCAGCAGTGAGCGCTTGGGAAGTCGGGTTGGTCAGAAGGCTCCTAGAGAGCTCTGGAAAAGCAGAGCCGTCTGCATTTTCAGGTGGTGGGGCTCTTCATTTTGGGAGCCACCCCAACCCCTTACTTACTCCCTCAAGAATATAAACCACAAGACAAAAAATTTAAACTATCGGGCTCTCTCCTACCCTGTCGCCCCCACTGTTTTTTTTTTTCTCCTGTCTCCCCCTACCCCCCACCCCAATCCAACCAATCTTTAGAACCCAGTGAAGACACCAGGGGAGGGATGGAGGTTTCAGCCCTTTCTTACAATAGGTCATTAGTGCTTTAAGCAAATGATACTCGCAGCTTTGACTGCAGCATTAGCAATTAGGAAAAAAATTAAGTTCCCTGCGGACATGTAACTTTGCCATCAGTTTTGATGTGGAAACACTGTGATGTATAAATGTTGTTGGACAACAGTAGTTTAAGAGTAAAATATGAAAGGCTTAAAAAGGCTAGCTCTGTCCTTACTTACTGAGGTTTCACTTTTCCCCTTTGTATCTCCATTGTACTAGATAAATAAATGTGAATGTACACTTGTAAAGTCACTCGACTTGAATCCTTCCGTCCTCCCAGTGCCGCTTGCTGGACGCTTAGTGCCTTGGACTTCTGTCGCTTCTGCCGTTGCATCAGCTTCTCGTCAGACCGTGGTCCGCGAGGGCGTGTGGAAGGACAGCGTGGGTCCGTGTGACCCAGCAGTGGACTATGTTGTAAGGAAACTGGAAGGGTATTTTTTTCAAGTCATTTAACAATTTTGTAAGATGAGCAGGATGAGAAGTTAAGTTGACATCAGTGGTTAAAGCAGAAAACTGTTTCAGGACAAGTGAGGAGGGATGCTGTCACCAAATTGGGCAGTTAACAGACTGAGCGTGGTGTGCGATAGGTGCTGAGAGGCTAGAGGCTGGAGAACAGACGTGTTCTGAAGACTTGGTGCTTGGCCAGCGGCTGCCCTAAGCCTTACTTACCTGCGCTGGGCTTGAACACAGAAGATTGAGAAGAAATGGCTGAAGAGAAAGGAAGGGGGTGGGGGCTAGTTTTTAAGTTGGGAGGTGTGATAGTGAAACGTCTCAGATGGAGAAAGTTGCTCTAAGAAAAATTGTTTGGCTTGCTTTCCTCTTGGTGCAAACGTACCGTGTATTTCTCAACGTGGGGTCCTGCAGTTTGTGGCAGGTGGTCCCACATCTGAAATAAGCACTGCAGGAACGGCTGCTTGTTCCTCCTCACTTCTGTATAATGTCCAGAGGGTTGCAGGGTCATAATCTCCTGGCTACCTGTGTTTCTAGAATGACAATGGATACTCTCATATAAAGAGAGACTCCCCTCAAGTAATAACTGCAACCAGCCAGTGTTATTTAGTGTTATGTCTAGTTGTGATGGGCAGTTCTCTTTATTTTCAGAAACTTCAGGAAATACCCTCCCAATTGCCTATTTTGGGGATCTCTGTTCTCCCAGCAGATGGGGCAAGAAGCCAGAACTCTTAATCTTGGGGTGCTGCTTCTCTTGACTCTCAGCCACCTCAGTGGCCCATCCCAGGAATCTCCCATGACAGGAAGAGCCTAGCTGTCCTGTCCTTCATTGGCCATTTTCTTTATTAAGTTAGCCAAGGCCCCAAAGATACAAACGAAAGCTGAGGTTTTAGGAAGGTAAGAGATGAGAAGGGCAGATGCTCCAAGCTTTGCTTTGAAACTTTACTTTTTCTCTGCCTATAATCCTCGGGAAATGGTAAGAGTAAGGACAGAACAAGAAGTGCCGAGGAAATGGGAAACGGACACCTGGACAGAGGAGACAGGACTTTGTACCAAAGGAGGGAGCCAAATGCAGCACGACTGTCTTGTCACTTTGGTTTAATGATTTTTGAGGTCTCTTCACTCACATGGAAAGTAAGAACTGGTTTTACTTTTGATTTTTTTTCCCCTCCTGTGGATGAAATAACAAGCCTAGAGGAATGAACCAGTGCTACTGAACTGTTTAAATTATTTTCGTGTTAATAGTACACTTTGAGTATCTTTTTCCACATTAAAAAAATCTTTCTGAATTATAAATGTTTTCCTTACATTATTTAACAATGTACACTGTTTAAAAAAAAAATAAACTGAATTCAAACCTTGGGGATTCTTGGCAGCCGTCATTCCTATGTTTGGCACTAACTGTGGGTTGCACTTTCTGCTTGTGGACATGTGATGAAGCCATTCGAATAAACCGAACTTGGTTTTGTTGAGCTGTGGGGATTCATTTTCAGCAGGTGCCTTTTTGTGATCACATTAGCTCTGATATGACTTGTGTGCAATTTATAACTGGATTCCTATCTCCAGAAACTTTTTCAAACAGCAATTCTGACCTGCACTAAGATGCTGCAGATGAGGAAGATCGCAGTAACGATACCAAAATTGGAAAAAAAATCTCTGCAGCTCAGGTGAGGGATCGGGGATGCTGGCGTGGCCAAGGCCACGGCTCCAGCTGCCTCTGGACTGGATATGAGGCCCCTTTGCATCTGAAACAGGTAAATGTAAACAGCTGTTTACATCAGATTTTTGGTTTTCGGCTACATATGAACACTGTTGACATGACACTGTAGTTGAAGTGTGCACTAGCACTGTATCTTTTAAAAAAAAAATCTTTAAAATGCTCAACATGGGGTGGCCAAAAACCTTCCATTTGTTTTTAAAAAACAATGTGAAGTGCAATAAGAAGAGATATGCCTGTTATATTGTTACAGGGTAGGATTTAATTTTGCTTTCTTAAAAATGCCTTTTCTTTGGTCTTAGGAGAAAAGGGAAGTCGTTTCATGATGAGCTGATAAACGATAGTGATGAAGACCGCAGTCTTGTATGGCAGCATTAGAAAACGGGGGACCCCACAGCAAGAGGTCAGAGGTCACTCAGGGATGCACCACAGGCCGAGGTGATTTCTGTCTTCATTAACATAATAGCTTAGGAATAAAGAAAGAGTGAGGAGCCCAAGAAAAGGCACTGAGTCTCTGCAGAGCTTCCCAACTGCTCGACTTGATGTGAGCAGGTGCCGAGTCCTCCGGCAGAGTTCAGGATGAAGCAGGCAGAGCCCTGAAGCGGAGCGCACTCCTCAGGCAGGAGCAGTCATTTCAGGACCAAAATGAAGTCCCGTCAGGACCGAGTTCAGGAGGTGACCTGAGCCTTGGTTAAGATGGATCCAGTTTCCTCTTCTTCATGTCCTGATTCTTCCTAGAGGAATCATAGTCCCCTGTGGAAGAGGAAACTGTTCAAACATAATTGCGGTGACTTTTAAAATCAGGAGTAAATAACAACTGATACAATCCAGAAGTCATTAGCTAACAGTCCTAGTTTACCTACTTTAAACCACAAAAGCCCAAGAATGAGAATTGTTACATGAGGACAGATCCCTCCATTAACACGAGACCAAGTTGCAGGAGAAATCAAGATGGGCCTGCATTTAACCACAGCTGTTAAATATAGCTGAAGAGTTAACCCCAGGGGAACTTCTGGCTCTTAAACTAGTTGTCCTCCACGTTCTTACACTGCTGCTCCTCTGACAGGAGTCCACGGGACATCTTAAAATGGAAGGTCATCCTGCTTTTAAGATTCAGTGAATCAATCACACACACCCAGGTTCCCTTTGGTGTTTGCTCCTAGAACACTCGGCTACCTGTGGCGTGTTGGTTAAGGCTGGAAGTTTGGAGGTGCCAGGGTCCAGATTGTGCCTGTGGAGTCTGGTGGCAAAGGCTTTGTGGAATCCTGTTCTGGGTCTCCATGTGGTTCTTCAGGACGGAGATGGTAGGGGTCTGCGGTGGTTCTGGTTTCGACAAGGGCTTGAGCATGCTGTCCTCTGCATCCATAGCCATGTCCCACATTTCAAGACTGTCTGCAAGGACGGCAGTCACAGGAAAACGTAACACAAACGAGAGAAAAGAGCAGGTCATGAGAAGTTCTGTATTGTGAGGGCCCCATGACAGCATCTGAATTTCTCTGCCCGTCCTGCGGAAGTACACCAGGCCTCCACGGGGCAGCAGAGGAGCTGCACGTGCGCTAGCACTCAACCCAGCATCGGGCCGCTCACATCGCCGTGGCACAGAACTGACAGAAGTGAAGATCCCTGTTCCTCTTTTGAGATGTGTGCGTGACGACCAGGGACTCACAGGCCCCTGACATGTTTACTGACTAGGCCTTAGGTCAGTCCTCTAGCTCCGCCTACCTGGGAGCAGGTCTCTCTGGGTTAGTGGCTCCGAAGGTGAGCGGGTCCTGGGGAGGCTGGGCTTGGCAGGAGGCACTGGTGGCGGCTGCACTGCAGAGAGAGGGGACAGGCTGAGCTCCTGTCGTCATCTGGGGGCTGGGGAGCCTCAGGGGTGCGTGCAGAGCTGCCTGGCTACCCGCCCCCCACAGCCACCATCAAGCTCGGAGCCCTATGTCCCAGTCCCACCTACTCATCTGTATAAACCAGAGCTGAAAACACCATATTCTCATCAAGCTAGAGAAAAAACTGAAAAGTCTGGGTTGGAAGCTAGAGACCCAGAATAATAATTCTAAGAACAGCCCCAGCACAATCCATTGTTGGCTTTTCCTTTCATTAATTTCGGCTGGCCAGTGCTGAGGGGAGTTTTAAAGAACTAAACAGGAACCAAGTCATCAGAATCTTAGTAATTTTTAAGGAGAAGCTGGGAAAAATCCGTTTTGTCTTTGTTTCTTGTCTCTGGAAAAGACTTCAAAACAATCTGGTATCTACTACTCCCAATGAATCTGGACTCTGAAATAAACACAAGTTCATGAAGAACTGCCAAAAGCCCCATCACCTGCACACCCAACTTTCTGCCTTACAGTCAAAGAGCTCATGTCCATGTGGCCAGAGTAACTGAGACCCGAAGAAGCTCTGGCACCGGAGCAGTTCAGCTCTGGTGACGTCAGGGGCTGTCTGTTTCCTTCCCCCGAGGACCACTGTCTTCACCCACGGGGAAACACAGGGTAGGACCCAGCGCTCTGAAGCCTTGGCCCCATGTGTGCCGAGCCCTGGTCTGGACCGAACCTGCTGCTCCAGGCAGAGGTGCCCCCAGCCTCTCACCCTCGTCCTTCCTTCCGGCAGACAGGGCAGAGGTGGCAGCCTGCTGCTGTCTCTCCATCTGTTCCCGGAACTGCTGCTGCAGCTGCTTCTGCCGGAGCTTCCGCTGGAGCGTGGCTTCGCTCTCCGTGGTGCCGGGGACCAGGCTTCTGCAGCAGGAGACCAGTGGAGTGTTGGGGGAGTTCCGAGTTACCTGGTCAACAGCACACAGTTCCCAAGGGGGCTCACGGCCCCACGTGCTGCTCAGAAGATGCAAGTGGAGGGAGGAGCAGAGGTGAGGGCAGGCGGCCGTACCGGGAGCTGGTCTCCTTGTCCCCCTGCATCACACAGTGGGGGCCAGCTGAGTGGCTCAGTCTGCACGGTGAGGTCACCTCCCGGGCTTTAGGGGGTTCCAGAGTCACATTCTGCTGGCAGCTGCTGTATCTGGCTTGTTCAACAGATGGTTCAAAATCTTGTCTCTTTGCATTAGTTAAATCCACTTCAAGAGGCGGCTAATAAGGAGAGAGAATAATTTCCTTCAGTTGCTCCTGCCCCTTCCTTGAAGGCATTCCGCATTTCTCTGCCCTCGTTCCTTCAAGGTCCTGAGAAGCTGAGACAAAGGATCCACAAGTGCAAGTAACTCCAACTCTGTGGAGTAAAACAGCTCCATTTCCCACCTGAGCCATTCTGTGTTAACGGGGTTTTCATATGAAGGAATCACACTTCAGTTTTTATGTAGGGCAAAATACTCTGTAAAATCTAACTTCAATCTTTCCTTGGCAACTGGGCCTGACACACTTTTCTATGGAAATGATCGTGCATCATCACAGTACAGAAACCCAGAGCATGTGCTCCACAAGCAAAGCCTCACTCAGTAATGTGAGGCTCACAGAAGAATGGAGTATTGGGTGGAGATGACTACATTTTGGTAAAGGTAACCTGAAAGTGAACATTACACTGTGAAATTTCTTATCTACACTGGGAAGTCAGTCAGTCAAAAAGAAATGAGCTTCTGCAGGGAGTTCCCTGGTGACCTAATGGTTATGACTCCAGGCTTTCATGCCAAAGGCCTGGTTTCAATCCCTGGTCAGGGAACTCAGCCCCCACACGCTGCATGGTGCTGCCAAAAAATAAACTCAAGGGTAAATGAGCTCGTGCCAGGAAACTTGAGGATGATATGCTCCATGAAACAGGCCAGGAACAAACAGATGACCCCACTGACAAGAGGCACCGAGGGCAGCGAGCAGCAGACAAGGCAGACAGCGGTGCCGGGCTGTGTGGAGAGGGAGCTGGGGTCACTGCACAGTGGGTACTAGTTGTTTTATAACAGCAGAGAGTTACAAACACAGATGGTAGTGGTGAGGACCCCACGTTAGGAATGTGTCTTGTACAACTGAACTGCACCCTTAAAATGTCTGAGAAGGTAAATTTTATGTATATTTTACCACCACAAAAAAAACCTGAAAATGAGCACTGAAAAAAATTGTAAGACTGATAAAGCTAAATGCTGTTGAATATACAGAATAATTGGAACTCACATACTGCTATGTGCCATACTGGACAACTGGAAGTAGAACCTACTAAAACCAAGCATATGCCCAACCCTCTGAGCTTCGCTAATAATTTCCACAGTAAATGGGTGTGTGAGCACCGAGGCATGCTTAACAATGCTAATGGTAGCCCTATTCAACAACCAAAAGCTATGAAGATCTCCAGCGTCAAGAGTCAGAATGGGAAAACCAACTGTAGACTTGTGTCACATAAAACGCCACTACATTCAACACAAATTAACCACACAGGTGGGATGAAAGCCAGACACAAAACAGTTCATAATGTGAGTCCAAAAAGTAAAGAACAATCAGAACTAGCCTGTGTTGAACGTGGTTTCCTCAGCAGTGACAAGGGGGTGGCACACCCGGAGACTCTGGGAAGTGGGGATGCTCGACCTGATGCAGGTGCTGGCTACGGCGGTGTGTCTGCCTCAGAATTCATCCAGCTGAACGTTTATCACATGTCCATTGTCTACATATCTGTGCTGTACTTTTTAACATAACACTTTTTATAAAGTGCAAACCAAACAATTCCATTTATATAAAGTTTAAAAGCAGGAATATACCTGACTAAAAGACTAAAAAAAAAAAAGTTACTTAAAAAAAAAAAAGACTTCCCCGGTGGTTCAATAAACTATGAACTCTTGCAACACAGGGACACGGGTTCAATCCCTGGCCAGGAAAGACACCCCATGGAGCAAGTAAGCCTGAGCGCCACAACTACTGAGCCTGTGCTCCACAAGAGAAACCACCGCAGTGAGAAGCCTGTGCACAAACACCATGGGGGTCCCCCGCTCGCTACAACTGGAGAAATGCTGAGCACAGCAACGAAGCTACAGCATGGCCAAAGGTTTAAAAAAAGAGAGAAAACAGTGAGTGGAGTCGGGGGAGCAAAAAAGTTTTAGAGCGCTGGCTATGTCCTGTTTCCCTAATCTGAGGTGAAAACAGCTGTGTTCACTTCCAAAAATTCACCAGGCTGTGCCATTATGACTTTCGCAGCTTTCTGTGTATATGTTATACTTCATTTAAAAAAAAGTGAAAAAATATAGTCATGTCAACAAAACGGCTGACTAAGAAGCTCCACGCCCTCCCTCACGGAGACACCATGGTAACAGTAAACAGACTAGAATCCCCCTGTAAGAGCTCCAGTGACCAGCTAAGACGTGCCAGCACTCAAGCCAACGTGAAACCAAAACAAAATTACAGTAAGCAGGTGGGATGTTCATGCCACTCGCCCCCAGCCACAGCCTGGCACAGAACAGAAGTGGAGTGGGTTGCCATTCATTTCTCTAGGGATCTTCCCGACCCAGGGATCAAACCTGCTTATGCAGTGGATTCTTTACCACTACTCCACCAGGGAAGCTCCTGTTTGTTTCTTGACGATTACAAAACAAAACTACAATATCCCTCATGAATACAGAAGCAGAAATCCTAAACAATATTATTAATAGCAAACAGTCCAATGATACATAAAAAAGATTTTAAAAAAGGAAAGAAGCAAACGAAGCTCTGCCAATTGACACACACCTCTGTGAGGGGCAGCACAAGAAAAAGGCCCCTCGAGGACAGCAGAGGGAGGCTGCCCGGGCGGGTGGAGGCTCTGCAGGGGCCCGAAGAACCACAGCCCCGCCCAGCAGCATCAGGGGCATCTGCGCCCGACCGGCCCAGGTCACGCTGGGCTCCAGGCCCCACTCATGTGGCACGCACCTACACAAACGGAAATCTAGCCCTTCCAGACACAGGGCTGCGGAAGAGCAGAAGGCTGGGCCGCTGAGGCTCCAGAGGTCTGTGAGAAATGGCAGTGGGCTGAGGGGGCCGGCCCTGTGCTCCCACTCAGACCTCTGCCAAGCACACTCCTCTGCACCTTGGACTCTCGGCCTCATCGTCCTCGGCTGGTCCCTGCTAGCTCTTATGTTCAAAGACGGTGGAAGTGCACATTCCCGACCCTCTCCAGAGCTGGCCGAGTCTTCACGTCCCTTTCCGTCACCACGTAGTACTCAGACACAAGGGCAGCAGAGTCACCATCCCCACTTCCAACATACCTGGCATGGAAGCTTGTTCAGTGACCTCAGATAGTCTTTGTCCAGAATACAGTTTCCAAGTGCGTTCCCAAAACTTCTAAGGGTAAGACAGAGTGGAACCGGGTTGAGAACAGTTACGTGTACACACCGGAGAGCAGGGCTACAGCCTCTGTTCTGGCTGCTTCTCAATGATGTTCTGAGAAGACAGCAGTGAGCGGGACAGTCGTAGGTCCCTGCTCCAGAGCATAGGGCGTGAGTCAGCCACTCACAAAGCCCACTGGTCCTTCCTGCCTCGGAACACAAGCTCCAGGGCCCAGATCCCTTCCCAGGGACCGCTGCGACCCCCAGTGCGTGAGCACATGTGCTTGGGGGCACAACCGTCACTACTAGACTTCTTTCCTGGGAGGCTCGGATACCCTACAGGCTGTGGCACTGCGAATTTTTAAAGCAAGTTTTACCTGTATTTGTTTCTGGTAATTCAATTTTCAAAGGCATCTTTAACCCCCAAAAAGGTTAAAACCCTGCTCTGTGTAACTAACTTACATGCACATAACAAAGAACCACATAGGTGCGCTACAAGGAGGAAGCACCCTGTGGTGGGGAGGGGAGGAGAGGGGGGGGGCAGCAAAGTCCCGCACAGAACAGGATCCTACCATGTATTCCCCAAAGTGGGCCATGGAGTAAAGGCGCAGCAGGGAAAGACAGCAGGAAACAGGCCGCCTGGGGCTAAGGGTGGGGCGGGGCTTGGGGACAGCTCTGAAATGAATGGTGCCTGCCCACCTCAGCGCCCGCTTCAGCCCATCTGTTACTGCCTCCTTCCTGGCCTTTTCCAAGGACAAGGCTTTTGACTTGAGGCCCTCGCTGACACCGTAGCCCACGTCTTCATGATACGAGCCATCCTGGGGGCAGAAAAGGCGTTCAGGCCCCACCGTTAGGAGTTAGAGCCCATCCCTCACAGCTCTCTTCGTCTTCAGGCAGCCATGCTCAGACAGGGCGACAGTCCTCCAGGGCTACCTCCTGGACTGGATCTGTGTTCTCCCCTCTCTTCCTCTTTACATAAAAAGGCACAGGTCTAACCCAGCCCAAGTCTTACTAAATGCACTACCACACAGCAGAAAAACCTTGTGGGGGAGGGATAATTAGAGTTAGGGATGGACGTACACACACTGCTGTATTTAATCAACAGAGAGGCACTGTACAGCACAGGGAGCTCGGCGCAGCATTCTGTAACAACGCGACAGGAGGACAGCTGGAGGGAGAGTGGATGCACGCGTAACTGAGGCCCCTCTGCTGCACTCCTGAAACTGACGACATTATTGGTCAACCTACTCCAATATGAGAGAGTTACGGAAAAAAGCCTTTGGGATACCAAGGGGAAAATCTGAAATATTATATTTCACTGATTGTAATGACTGGATAGCAAATCCTCTCACAAGTCAGGTGGAATCTACTTCTTGGCTTCCACCAAAAAGCAAAGGTAGGCCTGATCAAGCTGTCAGCTGACAAAGAGCTGAATATAACTTCTGATGATAACACTGTGATTCTGAAATATAACTCAGAAGCAGTCAATGAATAACACTATAATGAGACTCTTTCCAGTCCCGGTGTATGTGAATAAGGATTTCAATCTGTGTGTGTGTGTGCTCAGTCATGTCCAACTCTGCGACCCCATGGACCGTAGCCCACCAGGCTCCTCTGTCCGTGGGACTTCCCAGGCAAGGATACTGGAGTGGGTTGCCATTTCCTTCTCCAGGGGATCCTCCCGACCCAGGGATCGAACCTGTGTCTCTTGCATCTCCTGCATTGGCAGGCAGGTTTCTTTACCACTGCACCACCCGGGAAGCCCAAGGTTTTCAGTACTATTTACAAAAATAAGTCAGAACAGAATTAATGCTAGATGTTTAGGAATAAGTAATATTAACTATACATATATTAACAATAGAAAAAAAGCTTCATCCATCTTATTAAGAAATGCGTTCTCCATAAAATTTTATATTTTGATGCAGTTTTGCTGTCTCTTCAAAATAAACACTATTGACTCTATTGTGTGTTAATAACACCTGTAATATTAACAGTATCTCAATCCAAAAGAAATGTTTTCATATAAAGTCACTGGAAATTTACTCCCCCCTCCAAATTTTTACACATACAGACGGACACAGGCAGAAAAGCTTTAATAGTTACTGTTAAAAGATTTTCAATTATATAATATAAGCCACTAGGGGACTTCCCTGGTGGCACGGTGGATAAGAATCCGCCTGCCAATGCAGGGGACACGGGTTTGATCCCTGGTCCAGGAAGATCCCACATGCCATGGAGCAACTTACCCCGTTCGCCACAACTGAGCCTGAGCTCTAGAGCCTACAGCCGTAACTGCTGAGCCTGGGCTCCACAACGAGAGAAGCCCAAGTACTGTAACCAGGAGCAGCCCCCGCTCACTGCAGCCAGAGAAAAGCCCTTGCAAAGCAATGGAGACCCAACGCAGCCAGAGATAAAGCATCGCTTTGCATTATTTAAAAAAAAAAAAAAACAGTAGGGAAATGGAACGGAAATATGTGTTCAAGAAGAAACAACATAAAATTTCTAATGACTAGAGTAACTTGCTCAAAAGAAAAGTAGCTTGTATACATATTTTTTAAAATAGATGACAGCATGTAATCTATGGTATTAATATTTAGAATCCATTGGTACATTTTAAAAAGATGTAGCAGATTTATTTTAGAATGTAGAATTTTACAATATGCCAAAAAATGCACCCTTGCAAATATTTGTCTATATGGTGAAAATACTTAGTCACTTAAAAATGTGCAGGAGAACGAGCTCCTCAACATTTTCTCAGGCGCCTGAGTAGGGCCGGGTGAACACACAGCCCGCTCTGGCCTAGGGCCTCCACACACGCTCCCTCTCCCCCAGCATGTCTCTTCCATCACCCTCACCTTCAGCTGGACTCGCACAAACGCGCAGACGCCCACGTAGAACTTGCCATTGTTAAGGTCAACAAAATCTAGGTGGGAAAGACAGTCAGGTGAGGGTGTGCTGATCCTGCCTCACCCGTGTTCCTCCTGCCAGAGACGGAGCACACCCACCAGGCCCTCACCCGCGGCCCATCCGGCTGGAAGCTGGCCGATGGCAGGAAGGGACGCACACTCACCCACATTCTGCTGGGTGATGGAGTGAGCCCAGCCATTGTAGCCGAACATCTCATTAGCCAGATTAATGACCCTGTGACCCTCAATGTAACACACCTGGAAAAAATAAAGAAGAAAAAACACCTGGTTAAAATTCCTCGCCATACCTAACTGTGGATCAGAATTTACTTATTCCTTACCAGCTCTTTTGTCAAAATCACCCTAAACACTCCAGGGAAATTCCCAGTGAACTCATCTCAGAGAACTAGGGTCTGAGTAGTGTCTCAAGGCTGTGGCTCGGCCACTTCAGAGAACAATGAAGGATGGATCCCATCCCTTTCCAGAGATGAGAAGTGATAGTGAATGAAGGACCTACTGAATCCATGAGGACCAGAGAGGGAGTCGGCAAGTTTGTCCAACAGTCAGCATCATGGGCCCCCACTTTTCAGGCAGTAAACTCGCCTACCTTCTGGCCTCCTCCAGCCATGCGGCTACTGATGTACTCTGGGCCCAGCCTCTGCCTCAGGGCGTTCTGGATGGCCTGGTGTTCTTCCACTGTGTACTGGTACTGGAACCAGAAAGGGGAAACTGAACCGACATTTCTGCCATCCCTACGCTCAGATGTACTCAGGATCCTATGAGCTGTTGTTCATGTGGGTTGTCTATCGATACAAGGAATTAAAACTTCACATTCCACACATTCCAGTAACTACCAGAGCAATGACATCGGCACATGCTATGCAGTCTCTGGAAAACTCCACCCTCACTCATGAAAGAATGAGAGTGAAAAAGGCAGAGTACTTTGGTAGTATTATGAAAATAACTTTGATTTCACAGGCTCGGGAAGGTCCTGTGGACCCCAGGGGTCATTGGACCACACTATGAGAACCACTGCCTTAGATGTGACTAGTGTGTTACCACAACTCTCTCCAGCCAAAACTAGGAAACTAAGACTTCTTGTCTCAAGAGTCTCTCATGACATTTATGAAGACATGGAAGAGGAGAAAACAGGACAGGAAGCCTTGCTTCCACGTGTCCTCCAATTCAACAATTTCCCATCCTGCACATGGAGAACTGCACCACTATTTGATTAGATTTTCGTTCCCTTGGTAGTTTTCCCCTGGCCCTATTAAAGTGAAACAAATACACACAGATCTCTGGTAAGACAGATAGAATGTGGGTGGACAAAGCAAGAATCTCCCTTATAAGCACAGGGTATCTCCATAAACCCCAGAAACTTTGGATGCCTCCAAAAAGAGAGATCCAAGTGTCATGGGGACAGGAGTGACAGGAAACACTGAGACTTTTCACATAGTCTGTTCCACTTGGAATGTTAAAAGCATATGAAAATGCAACCTATCCAAAAACAGTTTATATATAAATGTAGCCCCCAGCACTGCTAAAGCTCCCATACATGCTCAGAGCTCAACAGAAACACCCAAATAAGGCCTCTAGATGAAAACAGCAGCTTACATACATGATGGCGCTTACACACTGCTTCCCCAGACCGTCTTGGTTTCCACTTACTCTCATCCCTTCCAGGGAAGAGGGGGACACACTCACCTGACCAAAGCATAGCACGGGGCTGCCCCCAGCAGGCTGGCTGCCACGGCCTCCAAGGACTGCTTCCTCGGTCCCAGACATGCTGATGCAGGTGGACTCTAAATAAACAGAAGAGCAAAACAGAGATTTCAAAGGATGCTAATGGTGAAAGGCAAGTCTCCGCTACAATCAGATGAAGTCACTTTCTCCACAGACCTTAAACACAGGTCAGGGGCACTCACTGCCTGGCTGTCACCAAATAGGCCTCTGAATCCCTCAGGGCCTAGTCTACCTTTCTGCTGAGTTCTTCCAGCGTGGTGCTGCTACTAAAGGTGATTTTTGCAGTAAGAATGTGTTGTATGTTATAATTACAATGTTTGTAATAGAAAAAGTCAAAACTACAAAAGCACGCTAGGGAAGAGCCAATAACCAGCTTATGATCACCTACTGTATGAGCATCATGACCTTGACCTCTGTGGGGTCAAAGAGGAAACATAAGCCACAGCAGCTGAACTGTCATGGAGACATGATGCCATGGGAGAGTCGCGTGGCACAGAAGACCCCGTGTTCAGAAAGGACACAGCACTGAGCCACCCATGGTCCCCGCAGCTTCTTTATCTCCTGGGACCTTGCTCAGGCCCCACCCCAGACCAACTGAATCAGAAGCCAGAGGCGAGGTCCAAGCCCACCCAGCGATTCTGACATCAGCTCCAGTCTGAGAGCCAGTGTGTTAGACTGAGACCACGCCAGTGTGCAGGCTGGTAGTGCACAGCCTTACCTCAGGAGAGTCAGCTGCTACCTGAGGCCCTGCGCCTGGCTGCACACCCAGCAGATTCAACGTGGGGCCTCAGCGGACCTGCACATGAATCTCTGCATATAAACCCTTAGATTACCTATAAAACCACAAATCTGTGACCATCAAGTAGTACATGATTCCACACATGGCATTACAGCACAGTGTTTAAGAGCTCATATTCCTAATGCTGACTTCTGGCTCCATCACCCATGAGGTCTTGACCAAGAGAAGTATCACATAAGCTCTCCAAAGACATTTCAACATCTGGAGGATGGAGATAACAATAGTACCTACACTTCCTAGGGGTTCTGTAAAGATTTAAGTGTGAAACTGCATAAAACTGCATCAATGCAACTAGAGATGATCATACTAAGTGAAGTCAGTCAGAAAGAGAAAGATAAATACCATATGGTATCACTCACATGTGGAACCTAACATATGACACAAATGAACCTATCTCTGAAACAGAATCAGGAACACAGAGACCTGACTGGTAGTTGCTGAGGGGGTAGGGGGGGAGTAGGAGGCTGGGGTTAGCAGATGTAAGATTCTCCAAACAGATTGGATAACAACAAGGTCCTACTGCACAGCACAGGGAACTATATTCAATATCCTATGATAAACCATAATGGAAAAGAACATTTTTTAAATGTATGTAATATGTGTCAGTGAATCACTCTGCAGCACAGCAGTAATTAACACAACACTGTAAATCCACTACACTTCAGTTTTTAAAACCTGCGTTAGAAGAGTGCCTGGCACACATGAAGTATTAAATAAACATTAATTTTTGCTGAGTGCTTGTTAATTTCTTTATGTAATTATGAAAATGCAAAGAACTATTTAAATGATCATAAAACATTACCTTTCAGCTAATAAATGGTAAATTTATTTATAATCTTGCACTAAAAAGTAAAGAGTGGCCTATACTAGTCAATAATTAGTGTCTAAAATTGTTAAATCAAAAAACAGTGCAGTGAGAATATTATTAGAATGTAACTGTAAATGCCAGAAAAGACAGGAATGAAACGTCCGTGAGGAGTAGTGCCAGTGTGAACAACAGTGCATCAAGGCTCGTCTTTTTAAAGATAAAAATTTTAGTGCTATTTCCTTTTCAAATACATACATGTATTACTTAAACAAAAATTTAAAAAGCAGAGGTCAGCAAACTTTTTCCATAAAGGGTCAGAGAGTAAATATGTTAGGTTTGACAGGTTATACAGTCTCTGTCACTACTTCACTTTGACATTTTAGCATGAAAGCAGGCATAATGTTGGGTCATGGTGGAGAGTTCTGACAAAATGTGGTCCGTAGAAGGGAATGGCAAACCACTCCAGTATTTTTGCCTTGAGAACCCCATGAACACTATGAAATGGCAAACAGATACGAAACTGAAAGATGAGCTTCCCAAGTCAGTAGTGTCCAATATGTTACTGGGGAAGCGAAGACAAAACTCCAGAAAGAACGGAGACGTTGAGCCAAAATGGAAAGGACACCCAGTTGTGGATATGTCTGGTGATGAAAGTAAAGTCTGATGCTGTAGAGAACAATACTGCACAGGAACCCCGAATGTTAGGTCCCTGAATCAAGGTGAATGGGACGTGGTCAAAGGAGATGGCAAGAGTGAACATCAACATTTTAGGAATCAGTGAACTAAAATGGACAAGAATGGGAGAATTTAATTCGATGACCGTCAGCAAGAATCCCTTAGAAGAAATGGAGTATCACTCATTGTCAACCAGAGTCAAATGTAGTACTTGAGTGCAATCTCAAAAATGACAGAATAATTTTGGTTTGTTTCCAAGGCAAAACCACTCAACATCACAGTAATCCAAGTCTATGACCCAACCACTAATGCCAAAGAAGCTGAAATTGAACAGTTCTAGTGAAGAAAGCTGAGCGCCGAAGAACTGATGCTTTTAAACTGTGGTGTTGGAGAAGACTCTTGAGAGTCCCTTGGACTGCAAGCAGATCCAACCAGTCTATCCTAAAGGAGATCAGTCCTGGGTGTTCATTGGAAGGACTGATGCTGAAGCTGAAACTCCAGTACTTTGGCCACCATATGTGAAGAGTTGACTCACTGGAAAAGACCCTGATGCTGGGGAGGGATTGGAGGCAGGAGGAGAAGGGGACGACATAGGATGAGATGGCTGGGTGGCATCACCAACTCGATGGGCATGAGTTTGAGTAAACTTCGGGAGCTGGTGATGACAGGGAGGCCTGGCGTGCTGTGATTCATGGGGTCGCAAAGAGTCGGACACGACTGAGCGACTGGACTGAAGTGAACTGATGAAGACCTACAAGACCTTCTAGAACTAACACCAAAAAAAGATGCCCTTTTCATCACTGGGGACTGGAAAAATGCAAAAGTAGGAAGTCAAGAGATACTGGAGTAACAGGCAAGTTTGGCCTTAGAGAACAAAAAGAAGCAGGGCAAAGATTAACAGAGTTATGTCAAGAGAAGACACTGGTCATAGCAAACACCCTTTTCCAACAACACAAGAGATAACTCTACACATGGACATGAACAGACAGTCAATAGTGAAATCAGATTATATTCTTTATAGCCAAAGATGAAGAAGCTCTATACAGTCAGCAAAAACAAGACATGGAGCTGACTGTGGCTCAGACTATCAGCTCCTTATTGCAAAATTCAGACTTAAAGAAAGCAGGGAAACCACTATGCCATTCAGGTATGACCTAAATTAAATCCCTTATGATTTACAGTGGAGGTGACAAATAGACTCAGGGGATTCGATTTGGTAGACAGAATGCCTGAAGAACTATGGATGGAGGTTCATAACACTGTACAGGAGGCGGTGACCAAAACCATCCCAAAGAAAAAGAAATGCAAGAAGGTAAAGTGGTTGTCTGAGGAGGCCTTACAAATAGCTCAGAAGAGAAGAGAGGTGAAGGACAAAGGAGAAAAAGAAAGATATATCCATCTGAATGTAGAGTTCCAAAGAACAGCAAGGAGAGATAAGAAAGCCTTCTTAAGTGAACAAAGCCAAGAAATAAAGGAAAACAGTACAACAGGAAAGACTAGAAATATCGTCAAGAAAATTAGAGATTCCAAAAAAAAAAAAGAAAATTAGAGATTCCAAGGGAACATTTCATGCAAAGAAGGGCACAATAAAGGACAGAAACTGCAAGGATCTCATAGAAGCAGAAGAGAATAAGAAGAGGTGGCAAGAATACACAGAAGAACTGTACAAAAAATGTCTTAATGAACCAGATAGCCACGATGGTGTGATCACTCACCCACAGCCAGAGATCCTGGTGTGCAAAGTCAAGTGGGCTTTAGGAAGCATCACTATGAACAAAGCTAGTAGAGGTGATAGAATTCCAGCTGAGCTATTTCAAATCCTAAAAGATGATTCTGTGAAAGTGCTGCACTCAATATGCCAACATGTGTGGAAAACTTGGCAGTGGCCACAGAAAAGGTCAGTTTTTATTCCAATCCCAAAGAAAGGCAATGCCAAAGAATCTTCAAACTATTGCACAACTGCACTCATTTCACAAGTTAGCAAGGTAATGCTCAAAATTCTCCAAGTTAGGCTTCAACAATACATGAACCGAGAACTTCCTGGTGTTCAAGCTGGATTTAGAAAATGCAGAGGAACCAGAGATTGCCAACATCTACTGGATCACATAAAAAGCAAGGGAAATCCAAAAAAACATCTACTTCTGCTTCATTGACTAAGCTAAAGCCTTTACTGTGTGGATCACAACAAACTGTGGAAAATTCTTCAAGAGATGGGAAATACCTGACCACCTTACCTGCCTCCTGAGAAACCTGTATGCAGGTCAAGAAGCAACAGTTAGAACTGGACATGGAATAATGGACTGGTTCCAAATTTGGGAAAGGAGTATGTCAAGGCTGTATATTGTCACCCTGCTTATTTAACTTATATGCAAAGAACATCATGCGAAATGCCAGGCTGGATGACTCACAAGCTGGAATCAAGATTCCTGGGACAAATATCAACAACCTCAGATATGGAGATGATACTACTCTAATGGCAGAAAGTGAAGAGGAACTAAAGAGCCTCCGGATGAAGATGAAAGAGGAGAGTGAAAAAGCTGGCTTAAAACTCAACATTCCTTGGAGAAGGAAATGGCAACCTACTCCAGTATTCGTGCCTGAAAACATTCCATGGACAGAGGAGCCTTTTGAGCTACAGTCCCTGGGGTCACAAGAGTTAGATATAACTTAGCAACTAAACCACTATAGAAAATTTATCAGTGCTGCCAGAAGCTGGGGCATGAGATGCAACAGGGCAAATGGGGAGTAACTGCTACTGGA